TGCTTTGCCATTCTTTTTTTCCTAGATTAACTCTGTCACGTTTTTACAGAAAAGAGCATCCAATTAAGCAGCAAAATCAATCCCCTGCCATTCAAACTACTCACAAAATCTGAACAGCACATATTCATGAAGGATCTCTTGAGTAAAAGCTATTTGCTCCACAGAATCTTGTGTTTGGTTTCAAATGATGAATAAAAGGGGTCAAAAAGATTACATGAAGTCACTTAGTCCAGTCTCTTTTATTTACTCTTACTCAGATTAAGACAGGGATCAGCAATATCTACATTTTCTGAACAAAAAAGCAGGATGTTTCACGACGTATTTCTTCCTGTGAGAGAAGGGTACAGTTATAATCAGTATGGCTTTTCTTGAGCAATTCAGTCTATTTTAGTGTGTCCAAAATCTGGTATTTACTGCAGCAGGCATGAGCAGTTCCTGTGTAACATTGGCCGAGGTCCTGTGGGCAAAAGGAAGCCCTTTGGAGGAAGAAGAAATATGGGCACTTCTGTACCTGTCCACAATACAGCTTCTGGAGGATCTTCACAAAGGTGAGGTGAAAAGTATTTTTTTATAGTTCTTACCATTGGAAATTAATTATTGAGTTATTTTACTTCTGTTGCATTTGTTTGTTTGTTTTTAAGACAAAAAGCACTAACAGCAATGACAGCATGCTGCTAATAATGTTGCCTAAAGATCGAGGAGAAAAACAACTCACCAGGCAAATTTAGTATAGGTAAGATACAGAGCAGGTCTTTAATGAAGACCTTCTGGTGCAAGGAGTACAAAGGCATGCACCTGTGTCTAGGGGTTCCACAGGTTATGGTCTGATCCAAGAAGCATCCACCCCCAGATCCTCCACAGATCTGCCCCCCAGCACACCTCCCCAGAAATTGAGTCTTAGTGCTGCTGTTTTTAGAGAGCTGAAGTCCAGAAGTAATGCCAAGCTGGAGACATTTTGAAGCTGAATGCCCAGTCCTCCAGTTTCTTGCAGGGCAGGGGAGGTTACCTGCCTCTGCATAGCATCATCCCAGCTGACTAAGGCATATCTCTGGCTCCACATCACTTAATTACAACTATATTGCTTTTGGAATCAGCTTCTTCTCAGGGCTAGTACTGTCACGTTTGTTTCACTGTGCTTGATGTAATAAATCCTGCTAGACCTTGTGATGGTAAACACCATTTGCTAATAGCAATATTTCCAGTGTGCTTGGGCACTGATGGGTTAGGCAGGAATGCTCAGACATTGGCTGGCCAACACGACAGAAGGCCAGGTGTTCTTCATGGAGGCTGAAGTACAAGCTGACTGCCTGTTTCTAAAACAGACAAGCTTCCTAGCATGTGCTACTTGTACTTGCATACTTTAACTACAGAAAATGGGGAAGGAGCAAAAGAGAAGGCTAGCTGATGATTTTAAGACTTTTAATTTTCTAAAGAAATAAATGCCTCAATTGTTGCAAATACCAGTGGTCTGTCCCTAAGTCTTGAATCTTTGGGTCCTCTGGCTATACAAATCTCCTAGGTGTGTATGAGTTCCCAGCTTAACATTTTACCTATCTTTACTATCCATTTTCCTGATGTTAAGGTCACCATGCATAAGAACTAAGTAGACCTTTTTTAATATACAATTTTTAAATGCTAAAATACCAAAGCATCTAGGGCACATTTCTGAGCACTTCTCCAGCAAAGATCTGAATGGTCTCTCTTCTCACATTCTAGACTGAAGAGTGGTTTAACAGCCAACTTTTTATTTTTAAATTATCTATATTTCCTGAAACACAGTGACTAAATATTGTCATAGTTAATGCAGCTTTTCCTCTTTCTGGAGTAAACATATTGATCTTAGATGTTGTTTATCATTGTTTTTTAATGAGTATTTTAATGAAATCACTTGGATGTCTTTGGCCAAATTCATTTACTGCATGTATGCAAGTTCAGTGTTTACAGCAGACTACACATCCTCATGCTGCCATTCCTGCTTCACACCACTGGGACCAACCTCAGTGGATCTCTGCAGTGATATTTTTTAAGAGTATTCAGACATTTGCAAGCAGAATCCAGTCCATTTCTGAGATACCTTCAAACAGATTTTTTCAGGGAAGAGAGAGGTCAAGATGTTTCTTAGGAAGGAGCCCAGACTCAAGGACCCACAAAGGTGTCAGCAGGGGCTGTGCCAGCCAGGGCTCTATCCCACAGTATCCAAAGAAGATGATCAGAGTAGGTCTGGGGTTGATAACTGAGAATCCAACCACCACCAAGGCTGGTCAGAGGTCAAGCTGGGAAACTGAGTCAGGATCAGGTGTGGTGTGGACAGCCAGGGTCAGACAGCCCAGCGATCAGCAGGCAAGGCCACAGTGACAAGGCAAGTCTGAGGTCAGGCTGGGAAGTCAAGCAAGGCATTTTGGGTACATCTTCAGGAAACATCAGTGATTAGTTTGGCTATACAGGTGAGATGCCAGAAATATGATTTTCTGAGTGCAGTGAATTCAACACTAAGGTCTCCCTTACCTACCTCAATATTTTTCAGACCCTGCCATCTGTGTGATTTGCCCATGGTCAGTACTACTGTCTGCTGAAGGAAATTTGTCCTTCCAAAACAATGCATCTCAGACAGAAGCTCTGCCTTTCAGTCCACCAGAACTGCTCCACAGACAAAGTAAAAACCAGCGCTTTGGACTAACAAAGGTGAGGTATATTACAAAGTAAATCTTGACGGTACCTCTTGAAGACAAGCTTGTGAGTTTTAATGCAGCACACCAGGTACCTGCTGCCCCACTCCATTTCTAATATGACTAATCAAATTAGACTACAGTTAGAAAGATTTACATGTGTCTTGCCATTGCATTAGCCTGCATGTCAACATCAAAATCAGTTTTGAACATCAGTCCTCAAGATCTGTGGAAATGTATTATTTGCAAAGGCCCACAGAAAGGAAGAATATTTCTATGAACACTGTTTCACCAGATATGGTAATTGCAATCCCAGAAGCAGCAGGATTGCAGTATCTATACAATCAGAGAGTGGAAGCACTTCCAGGAAGTCAGAAATACATTCAGCTTTGTGGACAATTTATTTTTCTTCTCTCTGACAAATGAGTCTCTCTGGCAAGACAGTAAGATACAACACTCAGGTACCTAAAAGTCTTAAATACCACTCAGACCACATCAGTGCATACTTCCCTCAGGCTGAACAAAGTATTTTCAGGTTCCCACATAACTGATCATTTACAGACCAGGCAAAAACATGATGCCGTGGAATAGGCAGCCCTTAGTCCAGTAATTCTTTTCCTGGATGTGAGTACTAGTCAGTCCCACAGGTAGGGGAGATCTTTAACTGGCAGTGGGAGAACTTAAAAATTAAGAAAGGAGTTCAAATTTCTTTCCCTACTTAAGACATAATTGAGTAGAGGGCAACCTGGCTCAGTCCCTCAGGCTGGACATTACTAGCTGCATGCTACAAGATCAACTATTGTACTTTCAGATAAGTTTAGTCTAGTTTTTTAAAAAAAAAAAATTATCTGTTTGACTTCTACCATTTTGTGACCAAAGCCACAAAAAGATGGTATCTCTCATATGAGGCTTTTCTGTACTTAATAATGACTTCACACAGGGTTTTCTTTCCTGTTTTGACAGATGTTGGTGTATTCCTTAGGAATGACCCTCTACTGGTCAGCAGATTACCAGGTTCCTCCAAACCAGGCCAGTAACACAAACTGTTGTTTTCTTTTATTCTGGTAGGTTCAAAGATTGAGAGGCATAATCTGAGGTCTTGGTAAGAGGGGCTTTATGTTTTGGATCACTAGAAAGAATTGGAAAGCTTGTGTCATGATTCAGTCTGCACTAAAAATACCAATTCACCCAAATCAGGAAATTTAGTTGGACCTCATCTTTACTTTCCTTTTTTTTTCCCTTTTTCTTCAAAAATCAGAATTGTTCTCATTAAGATGAATTATACCTCAATTTCAAGAGTGAAGATTATTTATTCCAAGACAATAAGGAACAAGCTACCCAGGGAAGTTGCTGAGTCACCATCCCTGGATGTATCTAAAAGATGTGTAGATGTGGCACTTGGGGACATGATTTAGTGGTCGATTTGCCAGTGCTGGGTTTATGATTGATTCAATATTAAAGGTATTTTCCAACCTAAGTTATTCTATGATTCTATTATTCTAAGATAGGAAGGGCTAAAAGAAAAATATCACATTGGCATGATTGAAGTGCTGTGCATATTTATGTGCTTTTTCAAAAATAGGATGCAGGATTAAAACTAAGTAACTGTCTTTATTTCTGAGCAAATTCTACCAGTATCTCTACTAGCTGAAATTATGAATTTCTTGCTTACTGGGAATCCTTTCTAAGACTTGTAGCACACATTTTGCTTCATTTCTATATTGATGCTTTTGGGTGCTTGTTCTTGATTTGAAAAGCACAAGCTTTTAGTAGATTTAACCTCTTTTTCATGTGTATACACATTCTAAGAGAAAAGGCTTTATAAGCTAAATGGCCCTAAAATTTAAGTATCTGGTCTCTATGGTAACAGTTTTGGTGGGTATAAGTCCTCACCTTTTTGAAGCTAACGCTACCACATATCTTTCTTGCAAGGATCTTTGATTCATAGTCTAATTAGCAAAGCTCTGGAGCAAACTGAACTGTTGTCTGTCACCAAGAAGTGCCTAATTGGGCTGATGACTTCTTAGAACTGCCAATTCTCTCCAAGGCTATCCTGGATCCCATTAGAGGCTTCATTTAGTGCTGTTTGGCTGCTTGTCTGGAATGTTCCCAAAGTCTAAAGGAATTCAGTGCCCATTTCTCACTCAGGGTGAAAGGCTTACAGAAATTCCTGGTCCCAGTTTACACAGGATTTCAATCGCCTGGCAGATGTTATTTAACAATACTTCTATTTTGGCTCAGTCCCTCCAGCTGAGTGACCAACTACACACACTCCTTCTAACACTTTGTGAAGATCTGCCACATAAAAGATTTTCTCCTGAATCAATCCTGGAAGCATGTGAGGCACATCAGAAGGAATCTGCTTCCTTACCAGCAAATGTCTATGTAAAGAAAATGGTCCAGTTTGCACTGGGAAGTGTCAGTGAGGTAGGTACTACTCTCATACTCTAATCATCTCCATTTCTCTGGTGAGAGAGGCGACAGCAACATGGAATATAGGTAAACAATTGTCTGAAATTAATGTTTGTATGGATTAAGGAAGTGAGATTTGTTTCAAAACTTCTAAGCAGAAAATTGAGTGGGCATGTGTACAAGCAAATGAAGCAATGAAGCTGTCTCAGACAGCACTTGTACACTCCTGGGAAGTGATACAAATCCAGCTTTTGCACTTACAGTATCTTAATTTCTTTGGTTAATACTGAAGCAATCATAACCTTTACAGGGACTTCATATTGGCCAAAGGAATGGACTGTAGACAAAAGATTTCTCCATTGCCACTCTGGTTTCAGACTTTGTGAAATTCAAAGAAATCACATTTACATCATATTGAGAAATTAATTCATTGTCCTTGAGTGGAACTGAACATTTGCCGTGCAATCAAGCCTGACCACATGAGGTCTTTAGTATGTGAACACCTGAGTCTTTTTCAAAATTTGAAATATCAAAAAACATTTTTTTTGACTGCAAGACAAAGGAAGAAAACACACCACAATTTTTTTCTGTTTTCAACCAGTAGTCATTAACATTCTGAGATGACTTTTCCACTTGCACTCTTTACTACTCTATTTACTACTGTTACAGAGGGTGTCCCCTCTTAAACTCAGCTGGCATGAGAGCATGGAGCCAACAATACTCAGTCCAGCTTTGTGTTAATCTGAGATGAAGTTGTTTATACAAAGCAAATCAGCAGCCTCTGACAGTGAGAGGGCAAGGATCGCTTCAGTATGAGAGTCTAAAGTCCACATATCAAATGACATTGACTCGCAAGATTACTGTCTTCTAGATAGAGCAGGTGGTCACCGAAGACAGCACAGCCTCCCAGCTGAACAGGAGTCATGTGATAAGGAAAAGGCTGCACGAGAAAATACCGGACACCTCACCACTGTCCTCCCAGATGAATTTTCATCAAGGTAAAGAAAGATTTATAAGCTGAACTTTCTAATAAGGATACAGCCAGCCTTTTCTGAGTCTTTCCCAAGCTAGATGAATTGTTTAATTTCATGCTGTAGTGATTACATGTAGTGTTGGATAGGATAGTTATTGCTTTACATATAAATTACTTCATGATGGAAAGACTCTGAGGCAAGTCAGCGAGGTTTCTTTTCCTTGTTTCACAAAGGACAGTACTCTCAGGGCTGCAAAGCAATGATAACGAATCACCTTGCACAGATTCGACTCTCAAAGCTCTTTGCATAAAACCTGTGCATATAAAACACCTCTACTTTCAAAACTGTTTTTGTGTTTTGTACACTCCAATGTATTTTTGAAGGTTGGATTCTGTGAGGTTATCCTGTTGCCATTAAGGAATATATAGTCATCCTTCCTACTTGATTATTCATGCAAAGATTTGTGGTTTCTTTTTGATTTAATTTTTCTATTCAAAAGATGTTTTATAAATACACACATGAATTGCTGGATTGATTTCAAGACACAAGGCCAAATCCTGGTCACTATACAAATAAAGCAGTATATACCAACTTTGCATTTCATTTGACTAAGATCAAGATTTTATTACCTCTCAGAGTAATTCTCTAACTCTATCTTTTTTCTCGTCTCCGTATTGTACTGTTCACTTCAGCAGAGATCTGTTACCCTGGAGCAAGGGAAATGTTGGCCCAAGCTATGCAGGCTTGTTTTGGATATGCTCAACATTAGGCATATGAGCAGTCCAATTCCTATTCAGCAAATTACATATATGTTCCATTAAATCAGTTAGAAATCAAACACATGCTTAAATACATGTGGAACATTTCTATGAGGTATTATGGGTTATAAGAAAAGGAGATTCTTTTCAAAACATACAGAGAAACCACCCCTCAAAACATATTGACTCACTCAGAAACTGAGCTTACAGTTTCACAGTTGCATAAGCTGGTGGAAATTCTGCTGCTCCCTCTACTAGCCCCAAATTCCTGCCATTTTCCCTACACTCATTCTAGTGATTATGTATCTGGTGTGATCTCTGTGTTTTCCAGGAATTTGGGTCACTTGGCTTACACTTGCTGAAGGACTTCAATGAATTAGGATGTTGATTACATTGAAAATGTGTGAGCCACACTTTGCAAGGCAGCCTTCCATTTCTTTCCTTTTTTTTTTTTAATTAAAAATTATTACCCTCAGAGATTCTGTAAAAGGATAAGAGACAATGCAACCAAAGAAAAGTCAGTATGCAAGAGAAGTATGTACATCCTTATGACTTAGGATGACCCCTTAATGGAATTTCTGCATCTGACTCTGGTAGGGGATTGTGTCTAGGCATTGTCCACCCAGCACACAGAAAGGATACTTTATAGCAGAAGGTTTTGGGCCTCATAGTATAAGGAATGAAAACTTTGCAGGTTATCTGCACTTTCTAACCTTTCAGTTAAACACATAGCCTAGAATTAATGTATTAGCTTTGTTTTATTTGGAATGGTTGAGGAGAACTATGAAAACTCTTTTTGGTCAGAATATGATTATGAAAATAATAGAAGTCATCAAGCTTTCCCCAGTCCTTAAGGAAGGACTGGGGTCAGTGTTAGAAGACAGACAGACAGACAGATGTGGACTATATAAAAATTAGTTAAGCCAAACATTATTATCATGCAAATACAATGATTTATAACTGAAGTATGTGATTCACCATATTCCTTTTCTGTTTCCAGATAAAGGGTCCAGATTAATGAATTATAGTCAGTCAACAGAAGATTACAGACAACTCTCTGCGGACTATAGTGACTCAAATAGTATTTCTGAAAGTGCATCTTTGATACTGTCTAACCGAGGACACAAGAGAGGTAAGATTTTTATGAAAGATTATGTTTATGAATTATGTATTGATCTTTTTTGTCCTTTGTTTGTATATGTGGCACTACCCACGTATAGGTGTACCAGGTGATAGGTATTCCAGTGCAACTTGTGGTTATATAACTTGGGAAGTATATTTTTGCTAAGTTGTAGAGAAGAAAGATACTTAGATTAGTTTCTTTTTCACTTGTGTCCTAATGTAAAGCTATATATTCCCTGGTTACCATGCAGCACCATCACCTCTTTCTTGCTTTATGCCCCCTTTTTGAGGTGAAGCTGTTCAGCAGATCACAAAGCCTGAGAGTATGTTTATAGCACATGGGGTCTTGCTACAGATGAGAAATGATGGAGCTACCCCACAAATGCATATGATGGGCAGTGTCAAGATGGCAGCACTGAAATCAGTTGAATCTATAAGTAATACCTAAGTCTTGAAGGGTGGAAATTAATGTTTCTTCAAACCCTTTAAAAAACAAAGGGAATGATTCTGAAAGCTGAGGGAAAAAAACAAAAAAACCCTTTGTTTTCTTTTCATTTTTTTCCTAGAACCATTTTATATGTCCCGCTCAGCGTGTTGTTTTTGTTGTACTAAATGCCAGGTTGTTCTTCTGATTTACTTTGTCTGGAGATATCAGAGTTGGAGTTTTATCTTCACTTTCAATCCTTTTGTGAAAGAAACTGTTTAGGAGAGAATTCATTCAGTGAAGACACTGTGTTAGACATCATTCAAGTTCCTTCCCAAGGCATATAAATCACATAGGGGGATGCTATGAAGCAAAGAAGGGAATTTAGCAGAAAGAGGAGCACTGCTGTGCATGTTTATCTTTATGTATAAATTAGAGTCTGAGCTAGGATCACCTAGAGAAGGTGTTCATACTTCCCAAGAGCAAAGAGTTGCTGTTGCTCCAAGAATGAGGAAAGTGAGGTTAGTTATGCAACTGCTGTTAATGCTCTTCTCCTGAAAGACACTTTTCTGAAGCTCCAGAATTGCAGTCAATATCAGCAGTAATAAAAACCTGAGACTGCAGCTTCTCGCTGTGTGATTCATATGTGTCATTCACATACTTAACTGCACACAGTGAAGGTAAACTTACTGTTTTGTAAGCCCTTTCAAAAAAAATGATTTGGTCATAAACTGGACAAAGGCTCATTCCAGTGACTTTGCGTATGTCTCAGTCTCCACTGAAACACTGGTAGCTGTTCATACTCAAGATTTTGTAATGCAGGACTCTAAAAATACATGAGTCAACACGGAATGTGAGAACTTGTTTGCCACAGACATTCTTTCATGAGATAATATATTAAGAAAATGCATTCTTCTCTGAAAAGAACTGCTACCATTTAGTAGAGCACCATTATCAATGGAGATCAGGACCTCTATCAAGACTGTACTTTTAAAGATATAATCAAATAATAATCTACAGGATTGACTACTTTGAGGGCCACATGTTAATTTAACATCAGAAATGTGTTAAATCTGTGATCAAAGCATGGCAATCTGGCCACTGAAACTAGCCAAGTTGTCCCACTGTCATAACAGCTAATACAGAAAAACTAAGGGGAATTTTATGTCCTTGTCAAAGTATTTTTGTACAATTATGTGAAAAGCACAGTGTAAGGAGAGAATTTTGCAAGGTTTTCTCATTAAAAAGCATGTCGTTTTAGAAGATGAGAATGAATCTTAACTTTGGTAACTAGTTTATCTCAAATCTCACATTTTGTCACTACCATCTGCAGCTTGGAAAAAACCAACACATGTTTGTGCTTATTTTAGGAATATGACTGTAGATTTTCTAGTTTGTAAAACTGTACTTGGTTGGTTGGTATACCAGAATTCAATGTCACATTTTCATTTGGAATTTGAAGTGAGGTCTCAGGGTGTAGTGCATGAATATTTCATCTGGAGAAAAAGCTGACCTAAATGATTGCTTCCACATAGTTCATCTTATCACACTATATTTCTGCCTGTGTAATAGTTTGATATGTAATTCTTCAAATAAGACCAATTAAATTATCTAAATGAAGTAAAATTTAACCTCTCCCTCCTTCCCTAAATCATAGTATCACAGAATATGCTGAGTTGGAAGGGACCTATAAGGATCATTGAGCCCAACCCTTAGCCCTGCACAGGACCATCCCCAATAGCCACACTGTGTGCATGAAAGCATGATTTAAAACATCTTTGCTGCTACAAAAATCATTAATAGAGCTACCACTTGCATACCCTTTCTGGTTCTGCCTCTAAATTTCAACTTTCATGTATTTGAACAATGCAACACCTATCCTTTCTGTAGCGGCAGAGATTACTGAAGGTGAAGAACAGAACAAATCTCATTTGCTAAGAACTCACAAACCATCCTATACTCCCATCATATTTTTATGATGTGAAAACATTCACAAGATATTTAATGTACCAAATAACTGGTGGAATATTTACAAATATTTTCATTTCAGTGATTTTATATCCTACTTTGATTAATCCAGAGAAATGTCATGGCTTTTCCCACCCAATTTTATGCAAAAATTGGGCATAGTTTCTGAGGAGAAGAAACTGTTTCACAAATTACCCCCATACAGATGGAAATGACAGCCAGTGTACCTATGCAGTTATTTTCTAAATTACATTTACATGAAGGATTATGAAGAGGAAGTAACAATAACTAGGGAACTGGGAATACTGCTAGTAGTATTCACTTAACCTTATTAAATAGCCATTTATGTCCAAGTGAGGACAGTAACCAGTCTAAAAGAGAGGAAGTAAGCAGTATAAATTTCTTACCTGTTTTAATTGTCCCAGCATCGGATGCTAAGTGCTGCTACAACTGCTTCAATTGTGAAATTTCCTTTATTTATTTTAGGGAAAGTTCCAGAGATGCACAGGTCATGTGACCCCACACTTAGTGGGTCAAGGACACAAAGTAGCTACAAGCTCTTCATAAACAGGTAATCTCAAGTCATATTTCTACAAGATGAAAACTGTTTTATAACCAAGTGAAACAGACAACTAGTGTGGCAATGCCACTAGCAGAAAATGCCTGGATTGCCATCTGAGCTGTTTTGAGAATAGATACTATTTATGTAGAATAAATACCTTAATAATACATCATATTCTACTATGTAGAATAAACAAATAATGTGCACCTAGACTTTATTTGGTTCCAAGTGGAACAATCCAAATGCTCTAGTGAAATGAAACTTGAAACTTGGGCCCTGAACAATCCATACAAAAAAAGCGTGTTCAAGATCTCCACCTTTACCACTGTGCCAGATGCCATGGGCCTCCCAGAACAGCTGCCCCTGGCTGTGTCTCCATCAGAATCAGGCAAGCAGCAATAGCCCTATGTCACTGAAACAACTGGGAAGCAGCTCCACAAAGACCGTGGAAGGTTGGACTTGATGATCTCGCAGGTCTCTTCTGACCTTAATGATTATATGATTCTATGAAGGGAAAAACCTGTTGAAAAGGTATGAACAGTCATCACTTTTCCTGTCAAGGCATTCTGGCAGAGTCCTTATTTTTCTGTATTCAGAATTTGGATGTGGTTTTCCCTTGCTGTCACAATAGCAGAGGCCTTACGTGTTCTGGAGTGGTTATGGCAGACCACATGATCCATAATTTTCAGTGGTTTTTTGCATTTCCATCTCGGTACTTAGACTGATTTTTCTCACTTGTGTCAGCCATATCCAGCCCTGCACCACTACTTTACTGAAGAGTTATAGGTAATCCAGGGACACAAGCAGTAAAGACCTCTGCTCTGCCATGAGGATTAGCCTCATTTCAGCCATGGCATGTACAGCAGTCCTGTAGACGCTGACAAAGAAAACTGAGAATTGTACAGCCGATATTAACTCCTTTTCAAAAGCCAGGGACACATCACTGCTGCTAAACAAGAGTTTTCTAGACTGGGTGTTAGCACAGTGCAGCTATAATCATGGCTGTTTCCAAATGAAGAAGAGATGTCAGCACTGTTAGCCTCTAGGCACCACAAAGACCAGAATCCCATAGTTAAGCACCATGTAATCCCTACAGACATCCCATTTAATAGAGTTCTTGACCCAGTTAAGCAGGAGTTTCTTCTTTTAATCATGACATGAGAAATTCAGGCCCACAGGAAATGCTCCATTTAGATCAATTCCCAGCTAAATGTATCCCAAGTAGACAGTTTGAAATTCCCGATAAATCAGCCAGGATAATCTGGGTGATATGAGACACCCCAGTACACCTCTAAAACTGCAACAAGAACGAATAACAATCAGGTTGCAGGATAGTGGCTGCTTTTGTGAAAAAAGAAGTCTCTGTGTACCTGTCTAACTACACACACACATATATATATGTGTATATAGACATCTATATATGCATCTTATACCTGGCAATTATATCAGTAACAGAGGATTTATTTTCCAAGTATTTTGGAGCAATAGCCATGCCTCTGATTAACAACTTGGGTATGATCTTGATATCTTTGATCTAAAATCATGATGCCAAGGATAAGTTCCCCTCCTCTGCTGAAATATGAACTCTCTTCTCCAAATCTCCAGCAAGCTATTTCCCATAGAATTTTGAGGACTGTAAACCCCACTTTTGGTTGTAAGCATCTGCAACTGAATTTCTACCAAGGTCACCATCCTATTGCAAGTACCTGAACAGCAATGGAGATGAAATAACCACTTCGGAAAACACCAGTTTGCCATGCAGAAGGACAACCAATACAAAACTTAGTGATGGATTTACTAGCTATAAAGCTTTTCATCATGCTCAGTTCTGTAGGCAGTCCAACTGACATTTACATGTTAAGCTTGTAAGTATATGCAGGGCTCTGGGCTATATATAAAGAAGACACAGCTGTCAAATCTGGCATCTCTCACCTCACAGGACTAATAACTGGAAGTGTTTTCCACAGGAAAAGAAAGCCTTCTTAATAAAGAATCTTGGTTTTTGAGCTAATAGTATTTTTATGCTCACAAAAGTCACTTCAGGTAATTTTTAGGCATATTTCTTAGGTAAATGTTGATTTTTATGAGGTTGTATTGATAGAAACAAAAATACCTAGATATGTTTATTAACAGAAGAATGTAAACTAGGATATGACAGAACAGAACAGAATAGTTCAGTTGGAAGAGACCTGCAATAATCACGTAGTCCAACTGCCTGACCACGTCAGGGCTGACCAAAAGTTAAAGTGAGTTATTAAGCGTGTGTCCAAATGCCTTTAAAATGGGCCAATGACCGCCTCTCTAGAAAGCCTGTGCCAACGTTTGGCCACCCTCTAAGTAAAGAAATGCTTCTTAATATGATGTCTGAACCCCACAGAATGTAGCTTTGAACCATTCCCATGTTCCCTGACACTGGATACTAGGCGCAAGAGATGAGCAACTACTCAAGTACATTTGTTAAATTTTTTTTTAAACTCCCTGAATAGTCTCCTGAAGCAAGTTTGCAACATGCAAAAGAAAAGGATGAAACTTTGAAATAATGAAAAAGCTTCCATGTGACTTTGGCATTTGTTAAAAAATGTAATTAACAAAAATCCACCTCAATAAAACCTTTCCTTCTGAGCCACGTAATCATTCTTTCCTCATTGACAAGAGTACATAGTATATTTTAAGTTTATTCTAAGGGTACATGTGTCTGCTCAGGTGGAAAACACCATTACTTTATGTGTTAAAACTGTAGTACAAAGACAGCTCTCTGATCTGAGATTTCACACATCTTTCTAGTAATTAAATTGAAAATTCCCTCAGTTCCCTAAGACATTAATTTATTCTGATGGATTAGTATTCAAATAATTTAATTACCATTCCTGGAAAATTCTGAATAATGTAACAACGAATTATAAGGTTTTCTGAAGATTTTTCCTTGAGAATATAAGAAATGAGAAATTTACTTAATCCTGTAGAATTCCAAGAAGGGTATGGGGCTAAACTCTTTGCCTGTTGGCTTCACAAAACTTAAACCAGCTAGATCTGGCTCACCAAATGAAAAAAAAAAAAAGAAAAAAAAAAGACTGTTACCAAATTAAAGCAGAGTTTAGATTTATTTACAAAGGGCATCAGTAATATTATTCCTGCTAAATTATTTTTCTTTTTCTGTAAAGAAACATTTAAGAACTCATAATTGACATTTCCCTGGACTTCATAATATCCCATAATATTCCTAGTTAATGTACCTTAAGCTCTTTGTCCTCAAGTCGGTGCTGTTGTGATTGCATGCTATATATATATTGCTCACTGTGACATTTCCATTGAAGGTCGGTCAGTGCTGTAGAAGAAATCCCTGGTGGAACTCAGAAGAACAACCGACAGAACCTGTTAAGCCTAGGTTCCACTTTCTCTGTGTCTACAAAAGACTACACAGCAGCTGCTTCATCACAGAAATGTTTATTCCACAGGAAGGAAAAGGTGAATGATGAAAAACATATAGGCTGATTTCAAAATGTAAATATCACTAAAGGGAAACCTCTCATTTAATTGTTGTTCAACAGCGACCTGCATATTAGCTGCTGAATCATCTCATTCTATGAGTATTCTAAATTGACAGACTCCAAATCAGGCATGATCCAGTTGTGATATCTCAGAACTGACAACAGTGAACAGCTCATGTTCGTAAAGACTATGCAAAAGCTGATAATTGAACCCTCTCTAACTACGTGTGATTTCTGCAAGCATCAAACACCATATGGACTGTTTTCACCAACCACTTTAAGAGGAGCTTCAGAACAGCAACAAAATTTACAAAGCTACTGAATCCAAACGTTTGCTGGTCAATGGTGCTCCAAGGACTTAAAAGTTTTGTTACAGAAATCATAGGCTAGCACCGAGTGTGCCAAACCAATAGTTTTCCTAACTGTCTATTTGTAGTTGCTAATTTGTTGTAAGACTATGTTAAATGTGAAGGGTAATGTTTCTTTGGCAGCTGAATCACAAAAGTCCAGAAATAATTGAATCACAGAAAACTCCACAATGATTTTTCCTATGGAGCTTTCTGTTGTGGAAGAAGGGATAGGTTTTAGGCTGATGAGCTCTTTCACCTCGTCTCAGTTCAGAAGCTCAGGACTGACCAGTGGCAGACATTTGGTCAAGAGCTGCAGTTAGGTAGTTTGGAAAATTATCCTTTTACATATAAATTTGGTTTTAAATTTTATTAATATGATTTTTGTTGAGATAATAATTGAGTTTCTCAGAAGGAGTTCAGCAACCGTTATAACAAAGTGCTAGTCCCTCTTTAATGTAATATAAAAGTGCACTGTCTGTTGGCAGGACAATAGTATTATTATGAAATAAACCCTAAATTTTTTTTAAAAGGATCTAAATGAGTCAAGTTACTAAGTCATGGACAATGGCTGGAAGGATTCACATCTTATCACTTGCAGACATTTAGTTATTTCTCTCTGCATAAGGTATCTAAAAGCATAGATAAATCTGGTGAAAACCCAATGTGCAAAATTACCTGAGGTGGATACTCAGCAAGAAAAAAACCATCTTGCCCTGTTAAAGTTTGTTGAAGTAAAAAAAAATTAATTAAATGTCTACTAATAAGAACTATCACTCAACCTTTATTATAGGGAAGAAAGCAGCTCTGTTTTTCAGTCTGGTTCCTATGTAAACCAGGCTTATGAAATCACAGTGGTGTGTATGTATGTGTTTACATGCCTGTGACTGTCCTCAGAGTAACTTGAGAATCAAATGGGAAAAGGTCTCAGAATAAATTAAGTTTCCATAAGTGTCATGAAAATAGGTGCCTTGTAAAGGAAATTAATCTTGGTTAAGTGCCTTTACAGAAGAAAAGGCTTCAGCATGAGCTTACCCCCACTTAGACCACAGAGTCTCCACACAGGAGAGACCTCACACAGAGAGAAGTCTTCAGGCAGCATTTGCACATTATTGGACACTGCAGTCAATTAGCTCCAGCCCGTAGATCAACAGAAATGGGTTTCATTGATACTTGTGTTTGGGATTTTCATTACATTATGGAGACAATTTACTAAATTTCTAAATTTCCTCCTTGAAGTTTTCAGGTCCAGAATTTATTATTTTGTCTGGTGAACCACCAGTGACCTTGCAGCTGCCTGGATCAATTGTGGTAAGTAAGTACATCAAGAATTTAGGACTAATCTAGCTACCTTTTAGTTGGGGCTCTTTGTAAGTTGCATCTGAGTCCCAACTCAGTTTTCTCGCCATGTCTTCCTCTCAAAACATATTACCTTCAGAGGTATTGAGACTTGAAAGGAAGTGATTTAATTCTCACTGCTATTTAGTTATTTCTGTTAGTTTAAAATTAGCTTAATTTATCCTTCTCAGCTAAGAATGCTCACTTTAGCCCAAGACTTTTGAGACAAAGATTATACAACAAATATGCAATGTGACATCTAATGCCAATGTATGGGACTTCTCCAGCTTGCAGCCACATCCTTTAACTTTCATTGAGATAAGGTAAAAAGGTGACAGCATACAGCAATAAAAATGAGGGCAAAGAGAATTTGGAATTACCCCCAAATCTAGAATAGCCCTGGTGACTATAGAGTCTGGATACGGTCAGCTGTTTTGTTGGGATTCTCTGGGTTTTTTAAAAATTATAAATGTTTGTGATATTAATTTATGAGAAGACAGGGAACAGCATAATGTTGTGACCATTTTCGTGAGGTTATGTAGAGATAGGAGACTAAGGGACCTCAGTAATACAATGCTGTGGAACCTGAATTGCTTGTATTTGGCACTCATTCTTCATTCTTTGTTGTATGTTCTTAGACTAAAAAAGGGAAATCCTATTTGTCCCAAAGGGATCTCAATGTGATTCTACTCAATGGGCAGTGCCTCGAGGTGCAATGTGACATCAAGACCAAGGCAAGAGATGTTTTCAACACCGTGGTGGCGTATGCAAACTTGGTGGAACATTTCTACTTTGGCTTGGCTTACCTGAAAGGTAATGAGACAGCTAAATACAGCAACAGCTTTCTCCCTCTGTGCCTCTGTAGTCACTTCATTAATGAATTCCAGTAAGATCTTTTAAGATCCTCAGATGAAAGCAGACAAAAAGCTTAAGCAAAAGTAAGGTACATTGGTTTAAACTCTACTGCACTGAGTTATAGCATGTCTATCCTAGAACTGTGCATATTACTAGATGATATTCCCACTCAGAAAAGGCTGTGTCTCAGCCTTGACCTGGAATAATACTGAGCCATGTAGCTCCAGCAGAAATTCCAGGAAGCACTGTACTGAGGAAGGCTGACTATCTTTGTCCCTAGATAGGACTACAGCTTCTATGTCATCTACAAGACCCACCTCTCCCTAGTCCATTTCTGGTGGCAAGCATGGCTGAGAAGCATACCTTGTGCCTAGGAATGCAAGCTCCATCAATTCTATGTGATTCCATAGATACCACACTAATCCAGCATCTAACAATTGTAATCCTAAATTACATACTGTTATCTTAATTCTCCATCAAAGAGCAGAAAGTTAAGCCATGACACAGAGACGTAAATCTCACTGACATCCACAATCCATTTTATATTTTAATGCTGGTGATGCACTATATGAAGACAGCAGAACTTTGAGCTGCTGAAGTATATCCAGATTTATTACAGAACCCAACATTCTCATTTCAGGTAAAGAATTCTTCTTTCTGGATGAGGAGACTAAACTCTACAAAGTGGCCCCAGATGGCTGGAATGACCAACCCAAGAAGAAAACCTCCATCATTAATTTCACACTCTTTCTAAGGATAAAATTCTTTGTCAACCACTTTCATGTTATCCAGTAAGTGCACAGTTCTGCTGGCTGCAGGAAAAACAGTAACTTTTAGGGATACCCTTTAAAGCTCCTCCTGTGTTCCTAAACCCTTCTGTATTCCAGGCACGGCTTGACAAGGCATCAGTTTTACCTGCAGCTTCGTAAAGACATTTTGGAAGAACGATTATATTGCAATGACGAGACTGCCCTGAAACTCGGCGCTTTGGCTTTACAGGCAGAGCTTGGCAATTATGCTTCTGAGGTGCGGATAAATAATACAATATTTCTCTGAGGTTTCTCTCAAGAACTTTTGCAGCTTTTGTTTGTCACATAGCATTTAAAGAAGAAATGTGAATAGCACAGAATTTCATTTAAGTCCTTCAGTTAAATCCTTCAGATTTAATTAAAAAAATTACAAAATTCTCCCAATTAAGGAGCAGTATTGAGCCAGGTGAATTTGGCAGGAAATATGGCAGAATGATGAGAGATTCTTTATCCTTCATAACTGATAACATATCCTAGAAACCCCAGAAAATCTGTAGAAAATTTCCAACATAGGCACAGCATGGATGTGCAGAGGGGCTTAGAGAGTAGTAAACATGGAAGAGAAAAACAAATGAACACTCCAGAATTCACAGCTATTTTATGTGCAGGCTCAGATCCAGAAGCCACAAAGACAGGAAGGTCACAGACAGTATATCTGAACTAGTTGTCCTAGTATTGAAGTGCATAGAAAATGCCCATTTATGTTCTCTTCCATATCCTAAGTTGTATAAATTAGTTATATAAATTAGTGTAGCTCTACTAATTGAACTCTGAGTGGTCTGATCCATCTGGTCGGATCCATCACGGCCATGGTCCCCCAGTGTAGGTTGCACTGATGCACTGTAGCTGTCAGCTCTAAGTGTGGAACATACTGTAGGACACACCTTTATCCTCTCTGCACAAAGAAGTGGTATGTGCTTTGAGCACCTGGCTGAGCACAGATACAAGAGACACAGGCTGTCAGGACTCTCTACCTGTTGTTCTCCACCTTCCTCTAGGAAACATGGTGGCTTCTGCATATGGGCCACCCCGAAAATGAAATGCAAAGAATAAGAAAAGTCAAGTAAGAACAAAAGGCTCTTGTTTCTCTGGGTTTTTTGTTTGTTTTTTTTCCCCACAGATGCATGGAAAGAACTATTTTCGTGTCGAAGACTACGTTCCAGCAAGTCGAATAGAGAAAATGACCCTGGCGTATGTACAGCGAGAGCTTGCTAAATTACATCGTATGAATCGTTCCCTATTTGAGGATGAAGCTGAACTAGAATTTTTAAAGGTAACTTGCCATACCCCGAACATTATTTATTTATTTATTTTGAGGTGGAAAGCCCCTCTCTATTTAGCATTTTCTCTTATTTCCTTCTTGCCTGATACAGTGGATTTTAGATATGGTGAATAAATTTAAATAGTCAACAAAAAACTCTGAGTTTCATTCTGCTGTAGATACTTTCACTGAGAGTTTATATAAAGTGTTAAAGCACATTTTAGTGTATTTTCAGCATCCTAAGGCTTGATGCAAATTTTTGGCATGTTACTAACATGTCTGGGTTCAAGATGATTATAAAACATGGGAATAAGCCTTTTTTTGGATTTCTGAAATTACAGCAGCTGTTCAGCCACTTTCTAAACATGTAGTGATTGCTTGTTTAAAATTATCTGTGAACCCTGGAAGTGAGGGAGGAGTTCTCTGAAGTATTTCCTCACATGACTATATCTCTAGGGCTCAAAAGTGTCATGATGATGTGGGATTTAATTTTTTCCTGCTAATTTCTACTTCTCCCTAAACTTCTCTGCTTTCCATCAAATGAATAATATCCGAGATTAAATAAGGGATAAATATTAGCACCCATTTTGCTGCAGTGCCACATGCTTTTATTTATAGCATCATTTTATTTCAGTTGCTATTTAATTATATTAGTTCCCCATCTAACACTGTCAGTGGAATTGAAGAAATGACAGTCCCATCATGTGTGGCAAATCCGGTGAAGAAAAGTAGCTTTGTTAGTATCTGTTTCAATGAATAAGTCTATAGAAGGAGCCAACACATCACACAAAGTGAGAAAGATAGCCCCCATGGCAAGAACATGTAAATTCCAAATATGAAAGGGATTAAAAATTAAAATCCAGATTCAGCTAGTGATTATAGATGCCCCAGTTTTCAGGACCTGAACATTTGTACTATGGATACTTCCTGAAAAACGGATCTTCTTAAAGTGTTTTATTTTGGTCACTGAAAATTTCTATTCATGGTGTAAAAGTCATTTGGGGGTTCCACAGCAGCTTCCTAGAATGAAAAAAAAGTTTTAGCACAAACTCATGTTGATCTGCAGATCACAAAAGAGGACAGCAAACCCTCCTCATATTCTATAGTCACATTTTAACATTTTTGAGGCCAAGTACAGGAGGTAGAAAGACAAGCATCAACACCCAGAGAGTCTGGATGAGTTCCTCAGAGTATTCTTGGCACAGTTGGAGGGCTGGAGCAGAAGCTGGCTCCTCAGTCCCCTGCAGTTTAATCCTACTTAACTTTTTGCCCTGAAATGAGCACTGTGGAAGAAAGAAGTGACACTGAAGATCTGTTACTATAAAGTCTGGCACTGAAGGGATATCTAAGGCAGTGAAATTCCATCCAAAGACACCACTATATTTAGGTGAAACACTTTGAGGTACAATTTAGCCAAACCTGTAACTTAAGATGTTGGCAATGGAAACATATAATGTCTTATTTTCAAAGATGATAGCCATGAAGGAATGGGCATACATACCTGAGTGAGTTTGGTGCAAGCTGGGAGCTGTAATGTCACTGCAGTTAAGATTTCCAGTTGACCGTCAATGTTGTAGAGAGGAAACCCCACAACCCCATAATAATGTCAGAGTAGCCCTGGCACCAAAATATTAGTAGTTTTATTAAGATAATCATATTTGCTATACCTCGTGGTTTCTGGGTTTGCTCATGGAAATAGAAAAGAAAATGGAAATAAACAAGGTTTCACAGTAGTTAGCTGCACTAATCCTGTGTGGATTTCTATTCAGAAATGCAGCGGCAGAAACGCTGAGTACCTCAGTGCCACTGTAATATTTAGATGATTGTGCAGGAAGCTACAAAACACCCCTACATCTTCAAGTGAAGTATGTGGGAAGTGTTATTTCAATTTTACACATGGAAAATTAGTGTATGTAGTAACTCTATGACATCCTAAAGTAAGGTGATGACTCTGTGAGGCAGTAGGCATGCAAATTTGGTAAGGGTTTTCAAAGGATCCTTGACAGAGTGAAAGAACACTCAGTAAAGAGACTCAAAAACATTTCCTCTCCCATCTACCTGCCTTTTCAGTAATTAATGTTTTTCAGTAATGCATGGTAAAAGTCCTTTTTCTCTACAAGGTGACTCAGCAACTTCCCGAATATGGAGTGCTATTCTATCGTGTGTCCCAAGAGAAGAAAGGAGCAGAAGGGGACATAATCCTGGGAATCTGTGCCAAAGGCATCATTGTCTATGAGATCAAAAATCACACAAGAATTGCCAGTTTACGATTCCAGTGGCGTGAAACAGAGAGAATTTCAGCTCATGTGAGTTGGAACTAACTGAACCTCGTCTCCACTTCATGACTTTACTCCTCTTCTTCCTGACACTTTGCATTAAGAGCCAGAATTAGACTCATTCCATACAGGCAAGTCATTTTTGAAAATAGTTTCAAATCAAAGCTGGATCTGGATGTGGATATGAAGATACCCAGTTCTTCATGAGGTATAGTTCTAGAGGGTTTTTGCCAAAACTGGAGTTAAATTACTATAACACTGACTAATCTGGTGTTGACTATTACAGAGAGACTATGTCAAACCTCTCTATGGCATACTGCATATTCATTCCTCTCTTGTCTTTACTGCTCTCTCTTTTTTCTTCTGTTTTCTTACCTACACCAGGTAATAGGATCATGTCTCCTGCTTCCAGATCTCATTATTCCTATCCCTATCTCTGAGTATATTAACAAACTAGTATTGGTGACAAGATTGTGATCCTTTCTAAGTGGGATTTTGACATTAGAGGTATATCCATCTACTGATGTACGGTCTAGGTGTGTCAAACTGCATCACATACTTCTCAGCTTGTTTGCTCTCCTCAAATGGTCCTGCTGCTCCTTGAAGATATGTTCATTTTCACATTAAATTTGTTTAATAATTTTAACATCTGTAGGGCCAAATTTTGCAGTTCTAGCAACCTGCTCTCAATGCATTCAATGTCCAAAGGCTCTTGACTTGTCACATAGAAGATACATAGACATCTTGCTAACGACTGTTGAATTTACAACAGGCATTTACTGCACCCAAAAGGCTTGCAGTCAGGCATAAATACAACTGGACAAAACCAGACTATATAAATGAACTTTCAGTACCTCAGTGTAGTGACTGATATATAAAGCGAACTGTGCTGGTTTTTTTCCCTTCAGAGAAAAAAATTCATGATTGAAAGCAGCTTCAGTGGCAAGAAACACACCTTCATTACTGATACAGCGAAGACATGTAAATATCTACTGGACCTCTGTTCTGCCCAGCACAAATTCAATGCGCAGATGAATTCTAGGCAACTTCGGCAAACTTCATCAGGTGAGGTATAAATGCACTTTCATTACTGGGCCCATAGGACAGGGTTAGGTTTTAGGAAAGGTGCATTCACCAAAGCTGAGAATTAGAACCCGCCACATTAGTTTCAATCTGCTGCAGTTAGAAAATAATGCCTCCTACTACACTGGAAGTTAGAGGAGTGTAAGTCTAACTTGGCATGTGCATGTGAATGGGTAGGTGTAGCAGGTGAAGAGGGGTTCTCTGATGATAATAACAACTATGTAGCTAAACTCAGATTTAAAAAAAATAATAAGCATGATGTCACTTCCCTTCAGGAGACCTGCTTAGAATTATACCCCAAATGTAACATGAAAATATTCCACAGAAATTAGAACTATAGTAGTGCCCAGATATGCTGGAGCTGAATTCAGTTATCTTTGCATAAAACAGGGATTCAACCCCACGGTTCAGTCCCAGGACAAAACCACTAAACCAAAGGCACATGAGTCATACCCTCTCAACTACATAGCTGCTAGCAGCTCTTATCTTAGATTTTGCCATGTCTGTGGAAGATATTACTAATATCTCCTTAAGACTTCAGATTTTCCATAGTTTCTAAGACAAGGTTCTGCTCAACCCAGGGCAGTTACATAGCACTTCTCACCCACAATTCTCAGCATGTTCTGTAAAGATGGGTGAGGATCATTATGGGGAAACTGAGGCACATAAGAAATAACAGTCTAAGCTGACCACTGTCATCACTCTTGACTTCAGTGAAGCAACAGGAATTTTCACTAGCTCATCATTTCACTGCCTTGAACAGAACCATAATCATTTACAACCCCTGAGTGTTTGACCCAGTAAGTCCTAATAGGAGAGTCAAGTGTCACGCCTTATCTGTTGGCATACTCTTTTCTGCAGTAAAACTGTAAACAAATTATACCATGGGATATAACAGGACTATTGAAATATTGCCTCCTTCTCACTAAAATCATTTAATGAAAGGTGAAATTCCACCAGCACAAATTTGTTCCCATGGAAAAAAAAATGCTAGGATAGCATTTAGGTTCAAAGCACCTTTTGTTGCTTGATGCCTGTAGCTTCAAACATAATTTAGTGGGACTGTGCTTTTTAGCATGCAAATGAGTGCTAGTAGTAAATCCTACAGTTTCCTGTGTCACATTTGTTTGTAGTAATATGTCCTAATAAAAATTATTACATTCCATATATAACAGAATAAATGATTGAGAACTAAGAAAATTATAACCCAAGTCCTGATTACAAGTACACTAAACCACTGAAACAAGCCAGACTTACACAAAGCATGTGACCACAGGTTCTGAGGTTCAGTGTGTGCTTGCTGTCCCAGAAAAAAAGCTTTGTGAAGGCAATGACAGACAGTAGTACAAAATGCTGCTTTTGCCAACACAGTGAGGCTGTAAAAGATTATGAGACTCTTTCTGCACACTTCTGCTTCTGTTGCACTGTTCAGATGTATAAGTCACCATCACTTCAAAACTTGATAGCAACCCCCTGCTTCGGAATCACCATAGCAACTCCAGACTGCACTAATACTGTGGACAGTTAAGCCTTCTGATGCCTTAAGAAATGCCTTTGATCAAAGCCACCAAGGAAAGAGGAGCCTAGATTTAATGCTGCAGAGTAGTGTTCCAGAAAGTTGTATTCAGGTTAATATTTATTAGGAAAACACACGGGAGGTTAGCTGTCATTTATAAGCAGAATTAAAGCCCATATTGATGCTGGCCTGTATCAAGCAGAGTTTTTGGGTTTGGCTTCAATTTTCTGCTCTCCCTCTCTCCTCCAAATTCCCTCTTCAGACCACCAGCTGAGAACCTAAATAAATTAATGCCTCCTTAAGCACTGTCTTGTTTCAGAAAAATAAAATCCTTTTTGTATATAGTAGAGCCCAGGTGTCATTAAGCAAGTAGTAGATTTCACAGGAAAGTGGAAAACTGGCCACCAAGATAGTCCCCTAATTAACTTCACTTGTGCAAATCACTCAGCTCTTTGGCACCTCTCTGAATGTTGGAAAGTACGTGTGAGTAGAGCTCCTGTCTTCTCAGATATACATATAATGGAGGGGAGAGCCTGTGAAGGATCAGAAATTACTACCAAGATGGCTAATTCAGACTTTGACAGACAGATATGTCTCATATACCAAATATTTACAAAATACACTTTACAGAGATATTCAGGTTTAAATTATATAGAGTTGTACGTTTCATCTGTCTTTGTGGAAAGTGAATTTGTAGTATAATTCACAGAAATGAAACCTAAATACAGTATATGCCTTCTGTGAAAGAAATGGATTGAAAACTACTCACTCCAAGGCCTGGGTATTCTCAAAGATACAAGAAAAATATATCTGTAATGTGGATCTTATTTTTTTTTGGTATGTTCAAAAGGTTAGATGGAAAGTTCCTTTGAGCTTAAAAAGATGGGACAATATCAGTGGATTTGTCTTTCCTTCCTTCCCTCTCTCCCTTCTTATTCAGAGGACAGTAAATTTGTGGAAATAGACAAATCAAATTCTGCATATGCAGCTCAGCGTGAACACCTTGCTCTTATCCAGAGACTGTCTCGTTCAGAGAATGTGCTCTATGGAGCAAATCTGGAAAACCTTTCTGCTGGGATGATGAGCAAATCTTGTGATAACCTCAGTGTGGAAACCAACAACAGGATGAGAGACAAAAGCAATCTAGGCAGGTAGGTTTGCTTTTTCCTCTAAACTTGTGTAAGAATATTCAGTCGTAATTATATAATTGCAAACCTCTGTGCTAAACTATGAGGCAACCTTTTTTTTTAAAAGTTTTTATTGTGGTCACATCAAAAGTCCGGGGCTCCATGGTGCCAGCAGTAGCGCAAACACAGGCAGGAAACTAACAGACCAACAGATAAGAACTTGAAAAAGAATGACATTTAAATTTGTACCAGACTCAGGAACGAACCATTTACTGGGTTATGGGGAAGTATAAAAATAAGGGAGAATAAATGTAAAATCTGTTTGTGTATCTTCTTGGAAATGGCAATATGTGAACTAAATGCACAGTGGAAGCTGTTTCTGATCAGGAATGGAGGAATCAACTTGATTCCTCCATGTCTAAAGGTGCAAATCATAGGGAACAGGACAAGAACTTCCCTCTCCTCATTTGTGTTGGTACACTCACCTGTGTAGGTGGTTACTATAGCTGCACCCAGTCTCAAGGCCTTTGATGAATTCTAGTGCCTTTTAGAATACTAGAAGTTAGAATAGAGCCAAGAAGAACATGAATTACCAGGAAAATTTTTAGACACAGTTTTGTCTAAACAAACAGCAGGGCTAAATGAATCATGCTGAGACTATGCTGTGTTTTCCTGATGCCTGCACTCAGCTCAGAGAAAAACACAGGGCAAAATCAGTCATATGAATGGTCTAATGGCAGCTGTTATTTGGAAGTAAATGCTGGCAAGGATAAATTACCTCTCCCCTACAATGAAATGCTTGCTGAAAAGATATAAACATGTGCCTTCCCAACTTGGCGCTGACAAACTGACAATGAAGGGTGCTAAATACCCTTGCTGATTTGTTATTTTAACATACCTTCCTGCAGGTCCTTATCAGGCCTATCCCAGTCAGAAATGCACATCAATTTGAATGAAAAGCAAAGGAGCTATGACTACCTCTCTATCCATTCAACTCAGAACACAATCAGTGGTAAGTATAATAATCATAAAGGGAGACATTATCCTTCCATATTTGCTGTTTCAATATCAGGATACCAAGATATATTCTACTTACAGATTAAAGAATAGCCTATTGTACTTCTAGTTCTGGGAATTAACCCAGAGTTTAGCAAGACAAGCTGTTTTCTTCCCTTTAACTCCTGCTTTCTGTCTGGATCAGTGATAAGGGACTTCATGATAAAATTATTCTATAATAGTGCCTATTGCTCTACAGAGACGTAGTTCAGTACACCCAGAGACTCTTGCACAGGGCAGTGTCCCTCTGCTCAGAGGTTTGCAGAGGTTTGGATGGCAGTTGAGATCTACAAATCAATATATAATGCATAAGACAGCACAGGCTCCAGGTGGTCCTCTCTTTTTGCATTTGTGTGACACTAACTGGACTAAGGCCTGGATACCTAATTTTCTAACAGAAGCCATATTGCATGCACACCGTGAGCAGATCTATGGAATATGAAGCTATGCTTAATTGGTTAGTCCATTTTAAAAATAGAACTGTACTTCAAAAACACTGTGGCAATTGCACAATTTTAAGTACTGGTAACAGTACTGAAGTCACCATTGCAATCAGTGTTGGTTCAATTGCACCTTCAGAGCCAAAAGTGCCCACAGGCTAGAGTTTCCAAAGGAAGCCATAGAAGATTTTGTGTCCAAATCTTGGCCAGGTTCAATGGGCACTACATGCCTGACTCTTTAAACATCCTAACCTTAATAAAAACATTGCAGAAAAATGCAGTCTCACAGAAAGGAATATTATAGGAAGAGCTTGCACAACTCTGTACATAGACTTTTCTAAAGAATGAAAACTTCCGAACATTTGTTTGAGCTTCTTGAATTATACTAATTCAGAAGTAGTGGCAATATAGAAATCAAGGACAAGATATATTTTAATTTTTGGAGCTCCAGTTTTGTGAAATATATGAATCTACTGTCTCCCTGCATTAATCTACATTTATTCTAGCTGTTTTGTTTCTGCAGCACCTGCATCACCAGCCATTCAAAAGGAAGTTTTTCTAAGTGGTCTAGAAAGAGAAATCATTTGTGTCAGCCTAAAACGTGACCCTAAGAATGGATTTGGTAAGTAAGGAACATATTCCTGGGACTAACAGATCCTGGTGCTAACACTGATACTTGCTGAGTTAAGCTGGGCAAGACTGTAAACTTGTTCTCCCCATTTATACTTCGTATAGAAGAAGACTACCAGTCTTTGTAAAGGATTTAGAATTTCCAAGACTGAAAAGGACTAAGCACATAACTCAAGACCACTATGTTTTAAGAGGACTAACTAAGGCCACAGAGATCAAGGGGACCAAGTGCTAAGAGTAGAATGAAAGGAACATGGGTTTAGTTTTGTATCTGAAATACATGTGTACTGATTTTATTTATCTTAAGCCTCACAGGTTTTACATGTGAGGGTGCAAAATATGTACACAAACTCAACGTGAATGTTTGTCAACCTTTGGATGTTTATTTGGATAATAACCATCTAGTTATCTAATACTGTAATAACACTGTATCCTGTTCCTGTGGATGAGTTCAGAGGACCATCCGGTTTCACAGCTGACCATTAATACAACTAAAAATCAAATTTCTAGATGGTGCAGGTCTGTGGGTAATATCCTAATCCCAAACCCAACTCTTATAGCAGTGAGAAGAATATATTCTGCAATAGGCAGAGCTAGGATAGTGAAATTGAACTACTTGACAATAGATTTAATTTTCTTAGATCTCTTAGAAGTTTACATGGCCCACCTTAGATTTCCTGGTTGCATGATGTAGAATAATGTTAAAAATTATCTGAAGAGCTTTTATACCATTTTGCTCCTGCAGGTGTTAAACACTGCAGGTCCACCTAATTTATGACTCTTACAAGAAAGTAGTTGGGGGTCTTTAAAAGTAGAAAACTAGGAAAGCATTCTTACTGAGAAATTATATTTAAATAGCGACCAAAGTCACCAGCACACTTTAATTATAATGTAAGTTTAAAGCTCTCCCAAATCAAGACCTTGATGCCATGTAAATCAGAGCTCCCTATTCCTCAGACCATGTATAAAACATTGGAGTAAGAGCCTTTTGTGCTCCTAAGGTTCATCTTTTCTAATACTGCCAGTGTCTCTGCATTTTCATGCTATCTCATTTTTGCAGGTTTTGTAATTATTGGAGGAGAAAATGTAGGAAAATTAGACCTTGGTATCTTTATCGCTTCAATTATCCCTGGTGGACCTGCAGACAAAGCTGGAAATATCAAACCAGGTCATTATCTTTAGTTTTTAATTAGAATTAAAATACTTGCATAGTTTAAAGTTAGCTACTCTGGATTTATTTCCTCATTTAGATGTACTTTGTCTTGGTTTTATCCTTTTTTTTTTTTTAAGGCGGACGACTCATCTCTGTGAATAATATTAGCCTTGAGGGTGTTTCATTTAATACTGCAGTTAAAATCATACAGAACTCTCCTGACGAAGTGGAGCTCATCATCTCTCAACCTAAAGGTATAAAGGCAAATGCCTTTGCTATCTATGGAACGCTAATAGTTAACTCAGGACACTCATATTTATTAGGCACTGGGATGTAGTGGTAGGTTCTTGCTACTCAGTGCCAGTTATAATAACCATGCAAGCAGTGAAAATAGTCAACTTCTAGCAGGTATCATGTGATCTCTGTTCTATGTCAGTGTGAAAAAATCTATTATGAGCTGCATTGCTGAACACTAAGGGAATTTTGGCATTTCTTTATCTGATGGAGAGTCATAGTCCTCTGCAGTGATGAAGCAAATACATTTCTCCACACTTATAATAGCAGCACTCCATTGTATGGTGACTAACTCATTTTATGGATCAGATCTCACACTCAGTTGAAATAGGAAGTTACTTTGTCCTTCTGTTCCGGGGTATAGCAGTATTTGCCTTCAAATTTACTTACATTCAGCAATGTTTTATTTTGGTATGGCTTTACAGACTTGTATGAAGAAGGATTAAATGAAGAAAAGATTCTATCAAGAGGAAACAGTACTAGTGGATCTGAGATCTCTTGTGTAGACAGTGGGAGAAAAAAGATTCAGGATTGTCATACAGCTCTCCCCAAAGAACAAGACATAAACATAGATGAACTTGAAAAGACTCTTTCCTGGAGTATAGCACCAAAATTGGGCTCTAGGATTCCAGCTCCTTCAGCTGATAGCCTGGATGCAGAGGTAACTGAGATTTTGATGCTGCTCAGTAATGTTACACCCAGCATATAACACATAACAACATAGCAGCTGTTAAGAATGGAAGGTAATTGAGAAATTAAAAACATGTGAAAAGGAGAATGAAAACCTTGGAATAAATTACATTGGAAATGTCAAAATCATAGACACGTCTGAAATATGTGAATGGGGAAACTGTTCTACAAAATGTTATTAAAAATTTTCCTTCCTTTTTCAGTGGAGGCACAAAGTTTTGATTATTTTCTCAAACTCTCTTTTAAGTTTTCAACCAGTCACAGAACAACAACATTTTGTGTCTAATTTCCTACTATTAGACATCCTCCCTATATATACTCAGCTTATGCACATATAGACAGATTGTATTTTGAGTACCATTAGCATAAGCTTCAAATAATATCAGAGATAGAAATTGTGTCATTCCAGGTTTGCAGTGACAGCAGGATCAAATCCTTTATATCTTCTGCAAATGCTCTCTTCATTTCCACCCCCCCCAGCTTTTTTCTTTTTAAACTGAGATACTGTAATGTCATTAGTGTTTATATTTTTGAGACAGGTAGCTGATTCTGCCCACTTACCATCTCCATCAGAAACGAACTCAAAGGAAATCTACACGGTGGAGCTTCTTAAAGAAGATGGGACTTTCGGAATCAGTGTGACTGCAAGTGTTACTGTTAATCTTTCATTTTGTCTGTCAAACTGTTTCATGATCAAGAACAAAGGCTCTGCTCATTCCCCGGTTCTTAGCTGCACAATCTGTGAAAGAAGTGTCCTGGCATAAAGCACATGGCAGTACAAACCCTTTTCATCCTTTCTCAATTTCAGAACAAGATCTACTACTGAAAGTGGAATTTGGTCAGGGAGGGATATAGCTAGAGACTCTAGAAAACATGACACAAAGAATTCTCCAAGTCATGATGGGTTTTGTGGCTCCTCTGCAGCTCCTGTGTCCGTAAGCAGATTACATGGGACCATGGCAGAGCTCAAGCAGTGGCCACAGGCACTATTTAATTGTTGAGAGCCCCTGACATGGCTCTGGCCTGTGCCTCAACAAGCAGTATAATGGAAGTCATCCCATGCTAGGGAGCTGAAAGTTCTGCTATGTAGATTCAAGATAAACTGTGAATCTCACTCTGAAGGCCAGAGAAAGGGCCCTAGACAACTTTATTTTGTAATATAAGGAAAAAGAGTTCTCTGTGTATTTACAGGACTGGGGAAGGCAGCAGTGAAAACTGTCTGCCACATTTGAATAATAATTAGTTGTCCTGCCTATCAAAGTTGAATTTACCCCTCCAGGCTGAGATGTCTTCACAGTCTTTGCTGAAATTGAGTAGGAAGCAACAGCCACTCCATTGCCTGCAGAAGAAATTCTTCATCTGAATTTGGCCAGAGGATATAGATGGACAGAACATAATTCTTAGGCTAATCTAGAATTTTTCTGAGCTGCAAAAGTCGAGGTCCATGCTTTATATATTGTCAGAAAGGTTAATAATTGCAGAATGGATATTGCATAGCTTAGAAGCTGGGCAGGAGACTAACTGAAAGATGCAACCTCATCTTTATGTGAGCATAGGGAAAAATTTATGAACATTTATTTAATGTTTTTATATAGCCACACAGAAATGCATAGCATTTTCCTGAGAAAATAAAATAAGATTACTGTCTATGGAAGTATGTTACAACTAGACGGGGGTTTGGAGTAACATCCTCTTTCCCCTTTTTCCTATATTAAAAAAAAAAAAAGTAATTGCTGAAGCAGTCGCTTTGCAATGCATGTATAAGTTGCTTTGATTTTTATCGCAGGAAGAACATATGAAGACTCCACTCTAATCTGTGGGCATATGTTTTGCAGGGTGGAATTAACACTAGTGTGCGTGATGGTGGGATATACGTGAAGTCAATTATTCCCAGGGGACCAGCAGATAAAGACGGACAAATAAAGATAGGTAACGTGTCTGGCAATAAAACTCTGGGCTGCAGAACTCAATGTTAGTGCGGACAATGAAACACATTTGGGATTAGAGATTTTACAATTGTGAAATGTAATATGCACTCCATCATTCCTCAGCCTGTCCCTGTACTACATGTAGATATCCCACTGAAAAAATCAGAAGCCTCACACCAACACTGTAGAGTTACTCTCCGTAGGTGCCATCAGACTACTGACTCTGACATCTACTTTCAGTGTTACTGGTATAACCAGACGCTATCACTGCATTTACTTAGAGAATACCCTGGTATGTTTTATGTGCTAGTTATAGAATGCTGTACAACAAGCAGTATTGCTTTCCTATGAATTAATATTAATTTGACACATGTAAGCATGAAGTCCTACTGTAACATGGGTAGCCTCAAGGTTTATACCCTCTGAACCTGAACATCAAAACAACTTGACCCTTTTTTTTTCCTTTTGCCTCAGGTGATCGTCTGCTGGAAGTAGATGGCATCAGCCTCTGTGGCATCACCCACAAACAGGCTGTGGAACACCTGAAGAAATCTGGCCAGGTTTGTACAACAGCAGAGCTCAATAAGATACACAGTAGACTAAACCGGACTTAGTATGAAGCACAGTAGCAAAGGAAACCCCCCCCCCCAATCCATTCCCCCTCCAACCCCATTCTCCTGAAAAGTAAAAAGACTTAGGGCTCACTGTGTACTGTGTAACTGGAACCTGTTTATCATTGTTTCAGATTGCCAAGCTGGTTCTAGAAAGGGGAAACTACCAACTGGCAGAGCCAGGTGTGACTGCTAATGACAGAAAGGAGGACCAATGTGCAGTTGTTTCTGTGGCAACATCCTTCACAGATGGTACCAAGGACTACTGCTTTTTGACAGATGGTAAGTCATAAAAAAGGAACTCAGGGTGACTTCCTACAGTGTACAAGAAAGGAATGAATGAAAACAATTCTGTGAATTTTCTGTGAGTTGGAAGGTAAACTGTATGCTGAATAAAATGATTTCTGATGTACATAGAGTTACAACTGCTAAATGTAGCTGAACTTATCCTAGATATAAATACTGTATCTCAGATTTGGTGAGATGGGGCTGGCAAGGGAACGCCCCTGCCTGTACTCTATGACACTCTCAGGCAGGAAGCAGCTGTGTCAATATGTTCAGGTTGTTACCCAGAGAGAGCATCGCCAGCACAACTGCTCATGCTGTGACAGTGATGAAGCTGGGGTGAACTGCTACCCCAGGGCAGGACTGGAGACTGTCATCATCTAATTTCTTAAAAACAGAAGATTCAGAGATCACTTTCACAGAATTTAGCCAACAAATAAACGCCAGATTTTTTACTGAAGATTGTCTCATAAACACTAAGTTTGAACCATACCTTTCCACTGGGAAGTTACTCCTCTACGTTGTTCCTAGGAGAATGGAATTCAGCTACAAGCATGGAATTTGGGAATGACCTGATCTCTCATTCTCAACTGAAAGAGCAGTAGTTCCAGCTCAGTTTCCAGTTAGTGCTGGAAATAAACTAACCTTGGGCAGCTACAGAATAGTAAAATTTATGCAACATTTACAGGAGAATGTCAGAAGAGGATAGCATGTGAACTCTTTATGTTGGTACAAAAGGCTTCTGCTTTTGTACCAGATTGAACACAAAAGGTGGAATAGATTCCAGTTCTCCCTATTCTGCTACTGAGATTTCAAGAACTTATGTAAGATAAAGGAACACCAAACCCTTCTTTTGCCACTACTAGGAGTAGACCTACCCCTGCAGCACAGAGGGAAAATGTCTGTTGAGAGTATAGTACATCAGTTCCTTAGGGGGTACATATGTCATGGTTCCCACTTCTTTCCAATCTTTGCTTTGAACAGATAATACATTTGAAGTGAGATTAACAAAGAATTCTGGAGGCCTTGGATTCAGTGTTCTGCAAATGGAAGAAGATTCTTGCGAACACCTTGGAGGAGCTATTGTAAGGATCAAAAGACTGTTTCCAGGGCAGCCAGCTGAAGAGAACGGAGAAATTGAAGTTGGAGACATCATTTTAGCTGTGAATGGGAAACCTCTTCGAGGGCTTTTGTATCAGGTACCAGGCAGTACTATTACTGAGGCTCTGGATGGATAACAGGTTAATAAAGACAATGAGATAAAACTCTATTTAAACTTCATTCTCACCGGAGGGTGGCAGAATTTGCATATAATCTGATTTCTTTGTAGGATTCTTCTCTAGAACTCTTATGGAGAATTTTCTTCTAAAAAATTCTTAGAGAGAATTTCTTCTGCTATTTAATTCATAACATTCTACCACTAATGCATGAATTCTATTTTTAGATGTACACCAGTTGTTAATTAGTTGGAATCTTTGTTGTTGTTACGCATGATTGGAGCATTTTCCCCCTGTGGATCATTTGTGCTTTGTAATGTCATGCAGATTCAAATGTCCCAGATTCAAATTTCCACCTGGTGAGGCAAATCCAGTGTAATTTTTTTACCTGGAATGAAAAATTCCACACTTACATGAAGAAATTAAATGGTAAAAGTAGGCTACATATGGATTTATTTTTTTTCATCCTAATATGGCAGTTTGGGGAGCTGTGCTGATGTAATTGACCGAAGATGTGTCACTGCCACACATGGTTAGAATGAATTTGTCCAAAAATTCTGTTTTTCTTCAAGAAAGAAAATTAATTAATTTAAACCTATGTGTCTGTTGGTGGATCAGAGGTTTGTAAACAAAACTAACTTTACTTGAAAACCAATTAACTAGATACATGTTCACATATAAACTATAACAATATATGACAATCCTTCAGTAGAAAATTTTGGCCCTCAGAAACTGCTGAGAGGCACAAACACCAGGAATTTAGCATTCACAATAAAAAATGTCTTCATCTCAGTTGGTAAAATGATGTGTACTATTGACTGTGTTCCATCAGAAATATTATTCCTTTCTGCTTAGGATGTCCTGCACTTGTTGAGAGGAGCTCCTCGAGAAGTCACACTGCTACTTTGCAGACCACCAAAAGGTGTTCTTCCAGAAATAGAGCAGTTTGCCCTGGTAAGGCAAAGCTTCTGACAGAAACTTCTGTAAACCTGGAAAGGCACTACTATCCAATTTTGAATAAGGCAACCTTCCCTTTTCTTCAAGGCCCTCTATTCCATTTCTTTCCCTTCCTGGCTTCAACTCAACCTCTAGAGTTCAATTGATATTTCCTTAGCAAACAAAATAATACAAATCTGGCAGATGTGAAACATATTTATCCCAGTCCAACAACTTTTGAGTTGCAGTACTGTCATTGGAATGAAACAGCACATGCCCAAGCAGGTCTTCTAGTGGTGGTTCTAAAAATGTTCTATTAGATCCTCAGCCAGAAGCTATTGTAACTCACAGGCTTGGAGTAGCTATATTACTCAAAAGTGAGAAGAAACTAAAGAGCTTTCCCTATCCAGACTATCTCTTAATGAAGTTAAATAAATGAAATAATGGTTTCAGCAGGTTATCCAGCTTCCTACTGAGAGTTAACAGATTCTGCAGGGGGAAGAACAAAACACAAACGAAAAACCCCCAAACAGTAGAGACTGCAGAGCTAAAACAGTGCCATTGGATGTGCTAGCATTATTATTCCTGCTTCTTGAACACAACTCATAGACACATACACAAGTACTCTTAAAATGAACATGCATTTGCATTACTCACGCTCCATGCAGAATGGCCTGCTTATGGTTCCAGTCCCACTAGGATTTATAGCAGTCCATGGACAGACAGAAATGACTGTCAGAACCATCTCCAGATAACAAACCGTCTCCTGTTGCTCCCCTGCAACATGTCCTTGGCTGATTTCTATGGTCAGTTGTAGAAGGGTCAAGTCTGGAAGCTACTTCTACAGATTGAAGAGCATATAGACAGAGCATTGAGGCATGAGATTAACACAAATAAATAAATTAAAAAAAGGAACCTCTAGAAAATAATTTATTGTCAACTTGTGTAGTAGTTCCACCTGGAACTTCTGAAGAAGGTGAAAGATAAGCATAAAGACAAAAGAGTTATTTAGTGAGAGAGTACCTCCCTTACACTTTTCTCTCCCTTCCAGCTACCATTTGATATTTTCCGATTCAGAAGCTTATTAATGTTGCCTTTTCAAAATATTTTGCTCTTAAAGGGAAAATGATAGGATATTAAAAAGGAGTTACACTAACATTTCTGTTACTTTGATAGACTCCAGCACCATCTCCAGTCAAGGAGTTTGTGGCAGAAATGCCAGGTGGAAACAGCATGGATCAATCTACCAGTGATGGAGGTAGTACCTCTCCAGACCTGGAAGACTGCCTGGATTCTCCAGTGGCAGAAGATTTCAGTGAGCCTCCTGAAGATGACAGCTCAGCTTATGAAGAGCAGGAAGCTGAGTTTCAAGGGAAGACCATAGAGAAGTTCACGACTTCCAGGGAGAGTTTCTATAAGCATCTTTGGAAGTTTCATCAAGAAGCTTCCAGTTCTGAAGTATTACACTCCCTAGAGGAAGAAATGAAGCAGAATTGCTACTCACCATGTGAATTTGGACAGGTAAAAAGGTAGGAAATACCAAAATCTGCTCTGCAATCTTTCCTTTGACTCTTAGAATTTTGAAAGTGAATTGCTGAGGTTTAAGTACAGGGGTCTCTGCTTCTAATCCGTACTGATTACTGAAGATTTTGTTTTACCATCTTATTCTGACTCTCCTAATCTGCTTTCCCTATTTACTGTCATTTTCTTAGAATTTTGCATAAGTATGCATTGCAAGACAGTTGTTACAAGTGCTACACTGCTGTAATCATTTATGTTGTTCAGCTGAATCTGGTTACCATTTGAAATTAGTGAAAAGACTCTTGACTTAAATAGGAAGCAAATACTTTCTTATTTATTATACAATTTTTTTATTTCAACCTTTTTCAGAATTGACTTAGGCATGAAATTTTTTTCTTATTGTGTGATCTTTTAATTTCAAATTTTTTTCATAGGAATTAAAAAAAAAATCAGAAGACAAACTGTGATCAAGGAGAAAAAAAAGGTTATTTTCTGTTTTCTGATCTTCACAAGCCAATAGCAGCCCTGATACAGAGGAATTATACAATAATCAGACACTGGCAAACGGAAGACAATCCATTTCATTTTCATCATCTTTCCCAGTGCACAAGAATATAAATTATCAGAACAGAAAAGACTGGTGCAAAGACAAATTAAAGGTCTTCTACTGGCCTTTAACTTACAACTTTAGTAATTTTATTGAAAACTAATTTCTATTTGTCCACACAGTCTCTTGAAATCTTTTTGTTACTTTTAACACTCATCAAGCACAGACCCAGACAGATATTCCAGTGTCTAGGAAGTTATAGCACTAGGTGACTGAAAGTCAGGTGGGGCCATAATGGCACTTCATAATTTTAGCTTCTCTTTGTTGAAAGGACAAGCTTCGCTTGATTAATGAATGAAGCTCCTGCTTACAAATCTGCTTCTCTACTGCTGAGAGCAAAACCAGCAGAAATATGTCTGTAGCAAACATATTCGCCAAGAAATACAGATTCATCAAAACTACATTTATTGTGGGAAAATATCAATTCCAAGGAAAGTTTTGGATTATTTCCAAGAAGGAAGTTCTGAGTAAATGTTTTTGTTTGATAGATTTTCATTATTATTCAGTTTCAGCTTTTGCATTTTCAAAAGGCAGCCAGAGCAGTTTAAGATGGTATACATTTTATCAATATTTTAAACATTATTTCAGTCTAAACGATCCTTCCAGCTAAAAACACACAACTCCCCCAGAAGGAAATAGGCTTTAATAAAGGAATTCCTTTTGATTAATGAAGAAATTTCTTCAGATTGCTCAAAACATTTCATGCAAGTGTATAAATCTTCTGATATGAATTTTAGAAGTTCCCCGCTCAGAGTTTCACATGGAAAATTCCTTTCACTCTTTGTCACCATCAATAAGAAAAAACTTCAGCCCATAGCTTTCCCTGTGAAGTCCTGTGTAGGGGTCACGGGACTCCAAAAGAAATTCAAGCATCTCAGCGGAGCCCGTGTGTGGGCCTGCAGAACCAAGACTTGTGTTATCTCCTGTGATGATACAGAACTGTGGTAGAAGCTGTGCTATGATTATGCCACTCACTGCTGGCTTGTTGCCTTGAGCTTGTGTAGCTCTGCCAAACACCCTTCACACCCTCTGAAGGTCAGTCAGCACTTCACTAGCATGTGACATCTTCTATGACATCCACTTGGCCCAACGTCCATTGAACACACTCTTTTCTTTCCTCTCTCCAAACGAAAGGAGCAGACTGTATTTGCTGCTATCCATAAACATTTCTTTTAATTATCACACTTTTCTTCCACACTATTCTAAGTATCTTGTCCAGTTATTAAAGTAGAAACCGTCAACTTCATTCTCATCTCCCCTGTGCTACTGGAGATGTCCAGCTTCTCATTTCCTCCCTGAACAGACACATGCTACCAGACTAGATCACTTCCCTCACTGAGGGCATACAGCACCAGCCCATTCGTTTCCCTTACTTCCATCAGTATTTCAAAAATACCACGGAAGGCTCCCAACTACATCCAACCAAAGTGCATGTTTTGCTACTCTGCTTTATAGTTTCCTTCTGACTATAGACAACTTTTGAATCAAAAGCTTAACAACGGGGATCTTCTGTGATTTCATACGAGAAACGCAATTAGTTTTTCTTTTAGTTGTCTGTGTTTGCCTGGGAGATGGTAACTCATTTTTATGAAAGAACAAAAGATCCTGGGTGACTTATATAAGAAATGACATGGCATTAATAAAAGCTATGCCATTTTAAGTGTTTTTAAGATGAATGAGGTTTAGCAATATTTCAATAAGGATAGATATGAAGAAAACCTACTTCAAAAAAAATAGTATTTCAAGCATTTTTATGAGCTCTAATGATAAATTTAATGGGAGACAATGTCATAGTAGTTTATTAGGGTTCATTTATGACAACAGCCAAAACAATATTAAACACAACATATATGATTACAGTCTGGGCTGGAACATCAGAAGTGCTGAATACTTTGTCTGCAATATAGTAGAATTAAATCAATAATAATTTTAGTTCTAGTAGTTGAATAAATCCATTGATTTCTGTAGGACAACTCGTATGCTTCAAGGCTTACAGAAAGAAGTTAGGATTTATATTTTTCATGGAGAGATGGGAATCATTTCATATTTCATGTTTCTGGTCTTTGCTCAGATACCAAGAAAGACCAGTAGAAACCAGAAATGTGGCTATTATTCCTTTTTCAAGAAAAATGAAAATATAAAAATTGTAGTAGTATTGTAATGTTCATACTACTTACCAGAAAAGTTAATTTGTTTATGGAAGATGAAATAATAAGTAATTTGGGCATTGTCTGATTATTTTTTTCAAGAAGCAACACAAGTACAAACTAATGCCTTAAAAAAAGAGTGCAAGATTTTGCAAAGGCAGTTTTCATATTATAAAAGCTTTTTAATCTTTCAAGTAGCTTAGCAAAATATTGATTTTTTTTTCCCATTTTATACTAACATTGAAGAATTCAGACAGCAATTCAATATCATAACTAGTACTTCAGTTAAAGTGAAAATAAGGTCATGCATAAGCAGTAGACTTTTCAGTGGCCATTTAATAAAGCATATGGAGGAAAACCCCAGCACTGCAATCTTTTTATTTTCCAGCCGCGTATTTAATAAGAATCATGATGACCTATCGAACACAAAATGTATGCCTGAAACTCTCTCTCTAACCCCTATTGATGAAGAGTATCTCACTGTCAGCTCAATGCCCGCGGCTCCACTTTCACGAGGAGGAAGCTTTGAGACTCTCTCTGCGACCACTGCGACCCCACAAGCACGTGTTTGTGGTCCCTTATCATCATCCCCACCTGCTAGAGAGACACATGACAGTGATAATGAATGGGAAGACTTGGAGGAACCAGAGGAAGAGAAGGAAGAAAATGAAGATTGCACTCAGGTTTGTGATAGGTACCAAATTATTAACCAGTAGAATACAAGGGAAAAGAAACAACTTTAAGAGTGTTACATTCTTAAACATTACTTTTAACTTATTTTCTATGCTATTTCTATGTGATTTTTGTTTTTTCTTTCCTGAATATCCACAATCTTCAAGTAAAGCAGACCTTCCACTAAGTCTACCTCTCCAGAATTCTTAACTATTTGCCTTAAGGCCATTTCCTTGGTCTTTACATCTTACTATTTCTCCAACTTTCCAGCATTCTGCAGTATTATTCTCAGTGTACAAGGGCTTAAAAGTCCTCTAGTAGCCTCTAAAATTAATTGGAGTCAGCTACTTGGGTTTTTTCTGTCATCTTTAAAGCCCATGTGGAAAATCACTTTGTTACACTGATATTACTGTAATGTTCCGATAAGAAAGTATGATCTTTGTGCTAATTACTATTCAAAAGGCTCAATAAGGCTCAATCTCCTGCCAAATGCGGAACATCTTGCATTCCTACTGACTAATGAGCTTTGAATTCCTATTAATTTGGGAGCACTAAATTTTGTGGACAAAATTTAGCTCCATCCATTTCCTTCAGTGGGACAATAATAGCAATAACAACAATAATCTTTGCACCCTCCTATTGCAACACTTGTCAGCTCAGAGGACTCCAGGCCTTTCTTTACATATTTCAAAAGCCAAAATTCCAGGCCCAGGTGGCATTCTCTGCCTTATTAGGTCCTATCAATCAATCAACATGAAACTCCACAAGGTAAAAAGAAGGAAAACTAATTCTGGAACATAGTCAGAGAAACCCTTATGTATACTCTTGTTTATACCGCCTGAGGATCTGATTCCTGTCTGCATATAAAACATAATGGAAGATGTTAATAAAGCAACAGAAAAGCCTACATCAAACATATCTTGTGCGTGTTTTTAATAGGAAACGGAGATATTTGTGACTTTGACCAAGTCAGAGAACAACGGGTATGGATTCTCTGTAGTTCTTAACAAAGTGGATACCTGCCTGTATGTTGATGAAATCTTGAATGACCCTGCTCTTTCTGATGGAAGACTGAGAAGGGGAGACAGAATCATTATGGTACAGTAACTGTTGGAGTTTATACAGAGGAGAAAATATTTGCAGATCAATCTCATTTAGCTTTGGCATTCTTCCTTTGGTAGCATCCAGTTTATTGCACATTAAGGTACACAAGTGCAAATGAATCATATAATAAACCTAATTCTGCTGACTTCAGTTGGATAAATTTCAGACCAAATAGATTTGATGACCAGGCAAATTACATGAATCATCTAGCACCAACGCAAGACAAATGAGACATTAAATGCCTTCCCAATTAAATGACATAAACTGAATTAGTGTAATAAGATAGGTGACGTACAAAGGATGCAGGAGTTATGTCCTTTGTAATGTATGAATAAACCCTTTTTTTCCAGCCTGGTTCATGTACAATTTGTTGCATTAGACTCTCTTCCTTGTTTTTTTGCAAGAAGACCTTGAGTTTCAAGAAAAAAAAAAAAAAGCTATTTTTATGAAAGCTCTGCATTCAGAAATATAAAAGTTCAAGAAGGAAATCTTACTGCAATTTTAACTGTTGCATTCACTGAAATGAATACCACAGCAAAGCAGTAACATGAAAGTGAAAACCAATTTAAGTTCATATGCAAAACTCAGAGTGGAGGGAGAAGTACATGATGATCAATGAGATCTATGACATGATTTTCCTTGTTTGTCATTTAGGTGAATGGAATTGATGTCACATCTTTACCATGCAATGAAGTCCTGACTTTACTGCAAAGCTCTCCTCCTGATCTGCACCTCGTGGTTGGTCGTGCTGAAAATGATCCACATCCCTCTATTAGGCCAGATGAGATTCCTGTAATTACTCTCACAAAAGGTGCCAATGGACAGCTAGGTGTGTAGTAAATACTGTGCTTTCTATTTTGGATGGGGATTAAAGCATTCATAAGATAATCATAAGCAACTGTGGTCTTGGATCAATATGTTTCAGAGTGACCTTGACACCTTTATGGTCTCTGCCATTACCCATGAGCTTTATTTTGAGCAAGGCCTAAGAGGGAAGACTCTTATTAGACCAGTGAAGAGAGTTGGAAAAATTATCTTTGCATTATCACCCTATCAGCTGAAGTTTCTGGCAGACCTTCAGTCTCATATTTTTATGTTACTGATATACATAAGTTGTGGACAGTTAGATAATAATGTCTACTACCTGTGGAAATACATAAAGATCTATTTGGAGAGAAAAAAAAAAAGAAAAAAGGTAAAGTTTGAGAGGGATGAGCCACAGGTTAAGGCTACATTTTGCTACTCAAAAAAATCTCCACTCAAATCCTTGATTCACCGCAGGCATAAGGTATTGTGCAATACAAATGATAAAAGGAAATCCCCACAATGTATCTTGGTATTTCTGCAGAATGTGGTGAGTACTGGACACAGATAAAACTGTAGACTCAGGAAACAGTATGGCTATCTTTGCTCAGGTACTAAATCCTGTTTTCAGGTGAGAAACTACTTTCTTCAGAGATTCCTTGAATGTCACTGCACCGTTCAGACTTCCATTGTATAGGTATCTCCTCAGTTGTCATAGGCCTCCATTCCCTATCTGAAGACTGTGAGGCACTGAAGTGCTCTGGTAATGAGGGAGTTACTGCTATGCAGCTGAGAGTCCTATTGAAATGACTATTGAACATCAGGTGAAATAAAGCACTACGGAATCACTGAAGCATAGAGATGGACAGCATCATTTAAGTTTTTCCATACTTTTTCTAACATCTAATGGCATTTCACTCTCCCAGTCCAGCTTGTATACCCCATCTTATTGGGGCAAAACTGTTGTTTATAAAGTCAGTGATTTATTCAGCCTATATTTTAATGACTCACATCAATTCCGCTAGACTTTATGTCACTGACAGTGAAATTCCAAGCACACTGCCACAAAAGATGCTTTCTCTGCATTATTCTAGGCTTGAAGCTGACAGGAGGAGCTGGAAGCAAGTTACAAGGTATTTATGTGCTAGAGATAGTGCCCGGCTCTCCTGCCAGTGTGGAAGGCAGTTTGCAGCCACAAGATCAGATTGTTTACATCTGTGGACTATGGACTGAGGGCATTAGCCTGGATGATGCAGTGAGAGTGTGTGAAGCTGCCACGCAGAATGTTCAAATCAAAGCCACAAGGTAAATCTGTGCATACTCAATCTCAGTCCTAATGGTGAAGCAGGTTTCTAAATTTTGCATCAGCAAGTCAGTCAGCACAAGACAAACTACAAGAAAAATGCTTTATCTCAAAGGTCTGAATTTTTCAACCTGATAAATAACATTCATAAAATATCTTAACTCCATGTAATTACAACTAACACAGCGAGTACAAGTAGACTCGCACCACAAATGAGAACTCTTCAAATTTCATCATCCAAATACAAATGTGAACCCTTTAACTGTGAGGCTGACCACCATTTTCATGTATCTCATTCTCTAGGGAAAATCTTTATATTTACACCACTTGCGTCAATCTTCTCCATACAATCTCAGATACACAACTACAGGCAAGAAACTACCTCTGATGAGAAATTCTGAGTTCCTTCTAACAGCCAAACATTTTAGTTAGGTACTAAAAATGCAGCATTTAATCTGCAGCATGTAACAAAAAGTCATCCCAGGCTTAAACAACAACCTGCAGTAATGGATTTCCCTCATTAGTTCATGGCTGCAGTTCAGATTAATTATGTTCCACAGTCTGGTATAGCACCAGCACAGGTCCTGCAGTGATACAGAAATAGCTTTCGAAGATCTCAGAGGAAAAGTCAAATATTAACCCAAAAGCATGTGAAAAACTAAGTTACATAACCAGAGTGAGTGATAGTATGGCTGTCATCTCTGTTTCAACATAGTTCAAACCTTTATCAATGTTTTATTAACTTTCACTTGTCTAGCAGAAGAAACTGCTGCCTCATTACACTTAGTCCATAGGTAGCACACTCTGATCATCAGAATTTACATTCTAAGGAGACAAATAGGAGAAACAGGGTAAAAGAACTTAAAAAAGAGCATTCCCACTTTATAAAGAAGTAACTGAAGCTGAATTCCAAATGTACCAGAAAGCAGTTCTGTTTTGGCACAGGTGATTTAACATTCCCATTTTCCCCAAAACCACTTAAATAAAACGTTTCACTACTGTTAAATAAAATAAAATATTTTATATATTGATATAAATGCTCTTTAGAAAAGCACCATTTACAAAATCATAGAAGCACTACAATTTAGACAACTACCTTTCTAAAAATAATTTTAATATGTGCTTTACGAAGCATGCAGCTCTTAATGGCTCACATATTTCACTTTTTCTGCCCTCAGAAATGGCAATCCAGTGGTTCCTATAGAGCAGGAAAATAGTAAGTAAGGCTAATATTTTTGGGGTTTAGTTCAAAACTTGCTTCTGATTTTGAAAATAAGCATAAACTCTTGATTCATTGCATTTAAAAAGCTATTAACAGATTGTAATTTGGCATTCAGTATTTCTGTTACAGCCATTCTAAGGTTCTGAAGAAAATTCGGTAGCTATTTAAAGACAGAAATAAAATGGATAGTTCTCTGTAAAAAAAAAATAATTTATTGCATTTTGCATAGTCTGTTTCTATTTCTAATTTGTTGTTATTAAATGGGAATTTTATGTGGTCATATTTCAACATCTGTTTTGACTGAAACTATTCTTTAACAAGTTTTCTACCCTTTTTGAGCCACTATTTACTATGAGCCACTACTTCATCATCTAGTCCACCTTTCAAAACTGTTATCAATAAACTACAGAAAATCAGAAAGAGGCAGAACCAATATTTCTCAGTTAACATAAGAGCATTCTTGTCAGGAGATATTTAATACTATAACTGATACAAAACTTCAGTACACATCTTCACTACAAAGACTTGACCAGTATTGCTCTAGCAGTAGAAGGACCCTCAGCAAGCAGAGGTTGCATCTGCACCATCAGTTGGAAGGATAGGTATCATATCTAGGTCACCACATGCAAAGGGTGTTAGCTATGAAAGTAGGAATTCCAGTGTACATTTGGCTGCAGGATTAAGTCAGGCCTAACCCCAGTTTCATTTACCTGACTGGATATTTGAATTTTTTATTTTTTTAATCATGCAAAGATGATCTCAAAAAGTAACTCTGGACCAGAATTGTTCACATGCCTACACTCATCTGAATACTGGCATATGGTTACCTGAAGAAATTATTCCAAGTCAAGCTAGTTACAGATTTCCTACTCTACCACATGTACCCATGTGTTTGTTTCTATCAGCTGAAGCGGTTTACCAGAAGACATGAATAAAGCTATGTGTACTCTCAGTTAATGTGGTATAACTAAAGCATGGCAAATGTATATCCTGGTAGGACCTTGGTTATACAGCCTTGCTCCGTGAGCTTTGCAGATTTGAAGATTTCTCAAGACACCTTCAAAATAAGTAACCAGGTCTGATCCTCCTCTGATACAGAGTTATGGACTCTACACCAGTACAGTTACCTGCCTCTCTTACAAAACAGGATGTGTAAGGTCCTGCACCTGGGTCGGGATAATCCCAAGCACAAACACAAGCTGGGTGAAGAATGGATTGAGATCAGCCCTGAGGGAAACCACTTGAGGGTGTTGGTAGACGAGAAGCTCAACATGACCCAGCAATGTGCACTCACAGCCCAGAGATCCAACCACGTTCTGGGCTGCATCAAAAGAAGAATGACCAGCAGATTGAGGGAGGTGATTCTGCCTCTCTACTCTGTAAGACCCCACCTCAAGCGCTGCATCTGACTGTGGGACCCTCAAGAAAGAAATGAGTTCAGAGGAGGATCATGAAGATGATCAGGGGGCTGGAGCACCTCTCCTATGAAGACAGGCTGAGATAGTTGGGGTGTGTTCAGCCTGGAGAAGAGAAGGTTCCATGAAGACTTCACAGCACCTTCCAGTATCTAAAGGGGCTACAGAAGAGCTAGAGGGACTTTTGACAAAAGCATATAGTGACAGGATAAGGAGGAATGACTTCAAAGTGAAAGAGGACAGATTTAGATTAGATATTAGGGAGAAAGTCTTTACTGTGAGGGTGGTGAGACACTGGAACAGACTGCCCAGAGAAGTTGTGGATGCCCCATACCTGGAGGTCTTCAGGTCTAGGCTGGATGAGGCTTTTAGCAACCTGGCCTAGTGAAAGGTGTCCCTGCCCATGGCAGAGGGTGGGAACTAGATGGTCTTTAAGGTCCCTTCCAACTCAAACTCTTCTATGATTTTTCTCTTTAAAAAATCTACAGTACTTTGGTATTTGGTGTTCTGTTTGCTATCATCACTGATAGATTTATAGAGAAATCGGTAATAATTTGTTATTAAGAAAGCAAGCCTTCATTTTTATAGACTCTCATAATTATAAAAATGCATACTAAAATTGCAATTGCAACAGGTAGCTTTTTTTTAAACAACAGAACATTCTTCATTTTCTATAATTCACATATTAAGAGTACTTTGTGGAAGTCAACTAAGATCACCAAGATATGATAAAGCAAAACCTCAAAACTGGGTGTGGGTGGGTAGAGGTGTGTTTCTTTGTCTGCCTGATCATTGCCACATGTTTAGAATGATTCAGTCTATTCTCTGACTGTTGTTACAATTTTTAAAACAGCAGTGGCAGAGATGGAATATCTTTGCAATTGTTTATATCCATACGCAAATTGGCAAACTTAATCACGCAGTAGTAAGTGTCTCAAATTGCCTTATATACTATCAATACTGGATTTTGAAGCTTTGTTTAATAATCTAAGCACAAGGTTTACATTCCCATGTGTAGATGAAGGTTAGCAGGAGGCCTGTCAGAACAAACATACCTATATGTTTTCAGGGCCACTAGCTGAGACAGAGAAAGCCAATATTTCTTTGTCAAATGAAAACCTGAATTCCAGAGAACAGCATCTGTTGCATCAACATGGTAAGTAACTTTGCATTTTTCAATTAGAATTTGTAAAATTTTCTGCCTTCTCTGAAAGAAACTAAGTCTCTAGGTGGTACTGGCAGCACCTGGGAAAGATTAATGCTTCATAAAAAACCCGCCTCCTTTGGAGTTGCAAAGAACATTTATACCTGTTGTCCATCTGGTGTCTTAGATGCTATAACACGCAGCTTTTAAAGCTTGTTTTGGAACCTGCTCACAGGAAGGTAGAAAGTCTCCAGGGATAATGCACAGAAGGCTCAGTTCACAGTTCAGGAGTTTGAGCCCACAGAAATCCACCAGATTTTTTTGTATTTCATATATCAAATATAAAATGTTTTATTATGTCTCTGAGTAAGATTTTGAGTGTTATACCATAGAACAGTTTACCAGTACAACTACGTAAAAATTACTGCTGCTTTTTTCACAGAGAAACATTTGGAGGAAACAAATTGTGGTGCTGAGCAAAACACTCCTGATTCTCCAGAATGTAAAGTAAGTGATAACTTTAAGTGCGAGATGGTCCATCAAATGAAGTGGGCTATACAGAGGGGAGGTTTTTTCAATAGTGGTATTTAATGTATTTTCTTCCTCTCCAGTTTCTTTGAAAGTATGAATATAATACACTTGGAGAGTGTACTTTGAAGTGTGGAATTGCTTCAGCATTCATGGACTAGAATGTACTAAGCACTTCCTGGGGCCAACTCTTCTGTTGCTGTTTTTCAATGCTTAGAAAGAAAGTAGCACAGGAAAAAGACACAGAATGTCATAGCATGGGATTCTGGAGAAAACAGGTGTAATTGTGAAACATTTTCCACAACAATCTTTGAAACCTGAGATTAAACCCAGGGGATGGTTGGGCACTGTAACAGACTCTCTGGGGAAGTGGTCACAGCACCAAGCCTGATGGAGTTCAAGAAGCATTTGGATGATACTCTCAAGCAGATGGTGTGACTCTTGGGGATGGTCCTGTGCAGGGCCAGGAGTTGGACTCCATGATCCTTGTTGGGTCTTTTCCAACTCTGCATATTCTGTGATTTCTGTGATTGTGTGATTCTGTAATAGGTTTCATTCTGAAATTACCAGATGGACATTTGAAAAGAGGGTAAAATTACCCCAGCCTTTGGACTATTATGCAGCACTGACATAGATCGTAATGGTTTGAATTTGGCAAGAGGAATGCCATTTTTGAAATTATGAATTCCTAAAATACACAGGAATTTTTCTTCAGGAAAATACCAACATTCGGTGCTTCAAAATTCTTACAAGTCCAAACATAATTTCTGTTTGTGAAAACATATGCAAAACAATGTTAATTGAAATTATCTACATGGACTGATATTTCATGTGAATAGATGTACTAGTTTTCTCTTGATCTTGGTTTGCAAAAAAGGCTGCCTTTTGTTAAAATTAGACCTCCAACCTGGCAGAAAAATTGGAACAATTTCCTCACTTTTGATTAAGTCATCCGTATTTCCTCACTTTTGATTAAGTCATCCCTATTACTGCTTCTTCTGCACCATTTAATCCATGATGGTTTATCTGTTCAACTTGCAAAAATAATTTCCAAGATTGATATTTGTGACATTGGAACTAGTCATGCTGCAAGTCCTAAACATTTCTAGTTTGCTGCTATTTCTGACATAGTACTTGACCCTAAAAAGGCAGCTGATTTTAAAACCAAATGAAGTGCTAAAGCCAAAGAGATGGAATGTAGAGGTTGCAAGATTAAGATTTTCATTATAGAACAATAAAAGAATGAACTACGTACTGCATTAATGTCACGCTGGAGATCGGAGTGCCTTGTTTGTCAATGACGGTGATTTATTTGATATATTATAAAAGGATTATAGAAGTACACATTTCTTTGCTCCTAAGAGGTTATTTTCCCCAGCAGCAATTATTAAAAAGATTATGAAAATAGTATGTACTATTTTCATTCTGATACATACATGGAGCTGCTATGTTGATCCCTGGAAGCTCTATACATCTATTCAAAACTAGGATATATCCCATAATCTACATCAGCCAGTGAAGTATAATGGGATTTCTTGGTAATAAAAATGCAAAAAAACCACAGCCCTGAATAAACTCCACTTTAGACTGCATCCTTCTCTGTTGTAGGACTTCATTATTAAGATCGAGCTGGAAAAAGCAGAAAATGGAAGCCTAGGATTTGCACTGGTAGGTGGAAGAAATGGCAGGGCCATCCTAATAAAAGCCATCAGCCCAGACAGCATTGCAGACCTAGATGGGAGGCTTCAAGTTGGTGACATTCTACTTAAGGTAATGATTGTTCTTCATTGCTTTGGCCTCCATTTTCTCTATATAGTCTATAACGAGCCTCTGTTCAGTATAAAGATTGTGCATATTGGAAATCTGGTGCTGCCTGGCATAGTAATATGTAGAAGGTGATGTCCCTCGCCTCCTGATGGTCAGAGGACTGTTCTGGGGCCCCTACTTCTTTCCTAGAGTTCAGCCTCCTGTGGGACTGGGCCTCTCCACAGCTGGCAGTTGGACACTCCATCAGAGGCTGACCCAGAATAGCAAAGCAAGCAGTAAACTGTAACTACACCATACTGTATTTGTGCCCACTGAAGATTACAGATGAAAAGATCAGGGAAACAACTGTTAGCTGACCAAGCCTGCATGTAACAGCTAACCATGAGGACACTGGGAAGAACCTTCATGATGCCAGTTAGGTATTATGAAGACAAGCAAAGCTGAAAACAGAGATTTTGATTATTTATTTAAAATCTTACTATCCTAACCACCTTACCTTACCAGCTTTTAATATAAGTCATCCTTTTTTTCTTTTTTACCTCAAATTATTTTTTCTTCCCTCTCCAGGAGTTTCAGTATTTTCTCTTTGCTTTTCTGTTTTTCACTTACTTCCTTCGCTTCTCCATCTTCTGTCTGAAGAATGGGGGAAACACTGTCCTCTTACTGTCTCAGACTACTTTTGTGGTGTCCTGCTGGCAATTATACTATAAGACATAGAGAGGAGAGGATCAAGCAAAAACTGGAGAAAATGAGGGCACATGAAGTGCAAAGAAGTTATGCAAAGATTGCTCAAGGCTAGGATATGTGATTAAAAAAAATCTTTCTGTTACAGGAGTCTGGAAATACAAATCATTGTATTTTTCAGGTGAATGAGACTTTTGTCTCTGGTCTGCCACGCCAAACAGTTACGGATTTGCTGCGCAAGGCTCAAGGAACCGTCCAACTCACAGTCTGTCGAAGTGTGGCTTTGCACTGGGCTTATTCAGGCAATCAGAGTAACAGACCTTCCCCCACAAACACAAAAGCAGAGCCTGGTAAGCAGCTACATCCACTCAGTATATGATAAAAGTGGGATTATGTGTTGCCTGAACTCATATTTCCTATTAGCAAAACAGTTCAATTTTGCAGTTAGTTTGATTCATAGCTGTAGATACAAACACATTCTTCACCTTGATCTGCAGCACTGTCTAAACTATTCAAGACACAGGACCACAGGAAAGGAATATCCAAGTGTGATTTTTAAGTCTAGGAACAGTGGAAGCAAAGCTGCAAGGCCCTCAAAAATGCTTTAACTCAGCTTGTGTTTTTTAGTCATGAATCCTGGTCTGATTTTACCTCATTTTATACAACTCACTGATGGAATCACAGCCAGCTGCTAAAATACATTTCCCAATAATTCACATCCCACCATTCCTACATTCCTACTACACCTCCTGTTCTGTCTGGCAGACAATTTCTCTTCTATGCTTATTCTTGATCAAATCCAGAAGCCTCTGCTCCCAGCTTGATTGTTATTAATTTGAGAGCACACCGATCTTGCACAGGGCAGTACTAAGAGAGCTGACTAACTCTATGGAAGAAACTTGTGCTCTATGCTCTGCTCTACTGAATACTCAGAAATTAAATACTAATTAAAGCTGGGAGTGGAAGCAATCTATATTACCAATAGATTGTGGTCCTCAACTTCCTATTTCTTTGAATACTGAAATGTTTCCTGTAATGTGGACAAACTCCAGTGGGAAGCATATAGAATTCCTCCTTCTGGCCTGCTGGGTACAAACTGGAGCTTCTGTTTCAAGTATTCTCAGTCAAGAAGACACTGCCATTGCTATTTTCATCTTACATGGCATTGGTGAATTACACAGTTTCTGAGAAGTTTAAACTGATTTCCTGGACCAGCAAAACCCACTGGTATTATAGAAGCACTGGCACCAAAGTTAATCTATGGTATTTGCCCCTTAGCACTGCAAAGGAATGGGCTGGGTTAGGGAGGGCAGATTTAAAGTCTGTTTCAGTTTTTTTATTTATAAACTGCTGTTTATACAGGGCTGTACTTCAGTGTATCATTCAAGTCTGAATTATGCTGGCTTCTTCAGTGGTGATACATGGCATTTGTGCTGTACTAACCCTCTCAGACCATCCATGAAAGGGATATTCCACGCCAGTTTCTTGCACTTATCTCACTGCCTCTTCCAAGGTCAAAGTCCTTTGATGTAGCTGTCAGAGAAGAAATGGATCTATATTTTCACACATTTTGTTTTGATTTTGCTTTCTGGTATTCAGCTAGTGCTGAGGAAAGTCTGCGAGCTCAACCTGTTTTCAGTTTCAAGAAAGAAGGCTCCAACCAGATGTGCAGTAAGGTAAAATTGGAGAAGTTATCAGAAGTTATTGGGCAATGTACTCATATGTTTGTTTACAAAATGGGTTTGCTGCAATGTGGGCAAGAACCACACCTTCTTGCTGAAAAAAGATTAATGTGAGGGAAATGTGCTGCAATGACTGGAGCTGCTGACATGACTGAAATAAGAGCATATTATTAATATAATACATATGCAAAATGGGTGGGGGGGAAGGAAGGTTGCATATGCAAGTCTTGTTCTGATTCTTTATAATACTGAAATAAATAATTTATTAATTTTACTATCCTTTCAGTATTTCTAAAGTATATACATTAAAAGATTTCTATTCAATTGTCTTCCACTAATATTCATGAGTCCAAGGCATCTAAACTTCTTCAAACATGGTTATGTTTTGAATCTTAATAAGTCCACAAAAACATTCCACATCAAATTTCACAATATTTCTAAGTTTACAACTGTAAAGCCCCTCAGAAAATATGAGAAATTTAGGTCTTCTCAAATAAAAAAACTAAACCCTGATTCAACCAATATAATCAAACTAGAAAAAGTGATAGAAATCCTTGATATGAATAAGCTGAAAAAACCTTGAAGAGGAATTTCTTTGAGGAGGTTTTAAATACAGTGTTGGAATGGGTGTTGGAACCAAACTTTTAGAGATAGGTGAAATTTAATATCAAAACAAGGTCATGTCTAAGATCTGACAAAAAAGTACACCCAAGAAATAATATCGGAAGTAGGAGATAGCGGTAGGGTTACAGGTTCCTTATCAGATCCCTGAGTTATAAGGTATTAGGGCACAAATTTAGTTTTAAAGTGGTTTTAAAGTAGATAGGGTTAAGTCTGTCTAGTTCAGCATAGCACATGCCTAACCTAAAGCACATGCTAAGTGTTTTTGCTGAATTGGTTCCATTAACTCTCTCTTCTTCATTATTTCCAGTTTACCTTTATCTGTCTCCTATGAATAGAAACTATTTATGCTTTACTTTGTAGAGCACAACTATCATCTACTCCAAAGATGTAGACTTTGAAAATGACAAACTACTGAAAAAATATATATGCAAAAAAAAGAGAAGCGGTAAAATACCTTTCCTTTGCAAATTAAAACCAAAAATCAATCTAACAGTCTCCAATCTATATAGTCAGAAGGTGCAGAAACTGGGTAGATGAATTCATGGTTAAATAGGCAGCTATGAATGTCCCCATTCTAGTGTGGAAAAACATGCACAAAACTAAGAAAATATGTATAAGTGGTGGCTACCATTAAGATTCTGTGGGGCATTCACTACTTTATACTGTGTAGTGTGCCAGGGCAGTTTCTGAGTGCATCTGGAATATCAAGCAAGGAAAGAAGAAACACCACTTTGAACTAATATTTAAATAATTTTCTATCACTGTTACAGCTGAAAAGGAACTTCTTTCACATACCAACAGCAGATGTCCTGCATCATTATTTAAATGCAGGACCTAGAATTACTCTCTAGGATGGAAAACCAACCACCAATACTATTGCTTCTACTGCATATGGAGGGTGATCAAGAGTCTGTCTTCTCTGCTAGTTGAGCATTTCTCCAGCAGAGCAGCTGCATCCTACTTCTTCCACTGGCATCTTTGTGTCTGAGATAAAAAAAGTAAATTATTGCCAACAGTTCCATCTCAGACACTGAACACGTGCTTTCTGCTGCCAAGAGCTGTTGAGGAGTGTGACTCCTGATTCCTGTGATTGAATTCTCTTTATGAGGTCAAAGAGGATATAACAAATATGAACCTTTTCAAAGTTCAGTCATGCATGCTAAGCTGTAGAGATGTCTGAAGACTGTATTGTTTTGAAACTCACAAATGCAGCTGAAAGGGCCTTTTACTCCCAGCAAATATTGCAATACATACTTTCTTCTGAAAGAGGAAACTATTTTCCTTCTTGAGTGAAGGACACATTTTTGTCAGAAATAAGAAAGAATGCTGATGAAAGTAACTATATTCTTGATGTTTCTGTGTACTGATTTTTTCACAGCTGCAGGATCCAGAAAGTACACACAATTCTCTTCAAGGTCAGCTGGCTGGACAAGACTATAGGGATATCATCAGTAACATTTCAGACAGGTAAGTCTTTCAAATGAAGTAAAACTACTAAAATAAATAGTATGGATAATTTATGCTTATATTTCCAGAGCTGTCCTAATAATGGTATGCAAATGCACTCGTGTCCCAAATGACAGAAATACAGTTCTATTGGAATGCAGCTCCATCTGCAGCAAGAGCTGCTAAACAGCTTCCACACAATTACTAAGACAAATGGAATGTAAGCTTCCAGGTGTAACAGCTCATGAGGAATTGCCTAAACCAGCTTTGGCCTTTCCAGCTGAGGAGGGGAGAGAACAGTGGTAGCACTGCCACCTTGGTGGGCAGGGTCCCCATGGGTTTTACTAAGAGTTCCAAGCAGATCTTGCAGCCTGGGCTGGACCCTGCGGTACTATGGCTGTAACGATACAGATGTTGAAGTCCAGACATACAAGAATCCAGAGAATTAGAGGATGTTACTCCAAAGCAAGTACATAGTACAAGAAGGGAAGAATTTTACTTCAAATTTTAAATCTTTAGGATAATGGGAAATCTAAAAATAATTGAGTATTGGTAATACGTGGACAGTTTTATTACAATTATGCCAAATATATGAAATATGATCTTTTTTAGCATTTATAACCCAAATAAATGAAAAAAGGACAAATATTCACGTTTAAAACAAAATTTGGTAAAACATTATTTGGTCAGTCAATTAGCGATGAAAATCTTCCCTATCTGCTTGCAGAGATAAGTTTTTAAAGTTCTGAGAGTATCTGCAATTGAGAACATCCATGTGAACACAGACTCGATGCCCCTCACTATTAAGTGTACCTTTTTACTGTTTATAACATTATGATCACATATAGGACAGGATAGTGTAAGACTGTGATATGCTTAAGCCTACTAAAGGGTATCTGAGTTAGTCAGTAGAGGGATATTTAAACCATGCTGCACATGTTATAGCTATATTCTGGATTGCAGAATTAGCTTCGACCTAAAACATATTACAGTGCCCTAAAATGTTCTAAATATTTTAGGAAAAATTAACACTCAAAGTCAATTAAGCTATAATTGCCTAACAACTGAAATAGGTCATACATGAAAAATTGTCTATGACTGTGGGAAATGTTACTTCCAGTCAACTTTGAGCAGCTTTTTATTCTAAGTATGCTCTTATCTCTGAGAAAAAAACCCAACAATCACCACATACAATACAAATAATAGTGGTTTTCACTAGCTATAATTGTGAACAATACTCCAGACAAAATGCTCCTACTATTCCTTGAACTTATGTTCTTTAGAGTTCAGATTAATTCTTGCAAGTAGTTGCTCAAGAAAGTTGAAAGTGATCAAAAATATATTAAACCTAGAATCTTTATACAGTTCAGAGTATCAAAGCTTCTGCCACTTCAACTAACACTGTTTTACAGGTCACAGAAATATTCAGAATGTGAAGGCTGCGGAAGAGAAAATCATCAGTCTGAGTCAGACAGCTGGAACAATGAAGATGATGTTATGCCCCACAGGATTCCTGTTCTACCTAGAAGTAACCATGCAAAAACTTCTTTTGTTTCTTTAACATTATAGCCCAGCTCCTCCATATATGTACACTGAGAACAACAGTAGTCCCTTGTGTACAAGCTAAGGATTTGCTCTTTGAGTCTCAAAAACCAGGGCACTCAAGACACAATTTTTACCACTTGCACATATGAAGGCATCTCCAAAAGAAGACATACAGCAGGAGCTCTCTTCTATCTCCCTTACTGCTCTCATACAACTTTTCAGAAAAGTAAATTAAACAAAAACGCACAATGAAGGGCCAAATTATATCTCAAGACTTTGTTCCCAGAATCACTGAATTTCACTTCACATGACAACTTCATTAAAACCTCTAGAACTGATGTGCTTAAGCACATACTGAAGCACTTTTACAGCTCAGGTGCCAAAGCCTCTTCGACACCAGAAGAGTTTACAGAAAGAATCCGCCTAATTGTTCCTTTATGGAAATTAAACTCTTTCTGCCCCAGATGAGAATAATTTGTGAAAGGAATCACACTCAGGATGCTGCAGTATCCCATAGATTATCTGAAATGCAGGTCTCTCTCTCTCTGCTTCTTTTTGCCCTGTGGAAACAATGAATTGCTGATAACTCTTATGAGAAGCAAACCACAGTTATCTCCCTCACACTACCAAGCCATGCGGAGAGCAAACAGAAAATTATAACTGATCTATCATCTACTACCTGCTCAGAGTTCAGGAGTTTTAAATTCCATTTGATCTGGAAGGAAAGAGAGATATATGGGAAATAGTGTCCTCTGTCTGGAGTGAGGATCTCTCTTCACTGGCACTCTTGAATAGCTAATAGGAACACCCTCACACTTGTGAGAGTCAGAGAACAGAAAGTGAGCAGAAAGTGTCTTAGAAGCTCAGGAAAGGCAGAGGAAAGTTGTAGCCCAGACAGAAACATAGCAAGCACAACACTTTTCTAACAGAGAATAGTGAAAAGTAGTGATGATATCTTACAAGAGGAGAACACAGCATTGCTCCTTGTCTTCAGCCTATAACAAACCCGTGAAACATATAATCAGGTTTTCTTTGAGACAGCTGGCATGTTATTCTTTGCCAACAGTAGGCTATGAATAAAAAAGACAAATTCCATAATTCCCCCACCTCAAACCATTAATTTTTACCAAATAAGCTACTGTTCTTACTCAACATGGTAACAAAAGTTTTTCCAGTAGAGCAGTGATATTTCCGGAGAGATAATGTTTATCCATTTTCTTAATCTGTCAAGTATTGGATCAGAATATGTACTTCAGGATGAGCAACTTAGTAAAACTGAAACCTGACTTTGGTGCATGAAAGGTAGTTCACACCTTTTTTGTGAAGTGGAGTGTGAGATAAGATGAGAAGAAAAAATATTTTCTAACTTCAGGAAAGAAGAATGTGCAGTGATTATTCCTAGCAGTGGGATGTGGCAATACTAATTTTCAGGGAAGTGTTGGAAACATGAAGATGATTCCCTGTGAAGATGTGGCCAGTCTCCTCTACCAGTATAAAGTACCATTAAAGTTTACAATTCAGCAAGAACGGTTTATTTAGAACAGACTGTATTTAGAAACTGTATGAGGCAATAAGTTGCAACAGTTGGATCTACTTCCAAATAACATGAAATGTAGTGCTGGTTGTATCCATGGTGCTGACTTATTCTTCTTTCTGCTGTGAACATAAGTAACCCAAAAATATTTTCTCACATTTTCTCACATTTTGCTTCCACAATACAAGCATCAAAATGTATATACATACTCCAGCTCCCTAGTTTTTTTAGGCCAGGACCTTGCACTATGAACAATGATAATTAAAAACTTCTTGTTTGTTTTTTTTGTTGCTGTGTTTTGGTTTTGTGGTTTTTGTTGTTGTTGTTGATATATAGACAGAACCTTTGCTTCTGGAGATGAACTGACTCAGTTAATTAACTTGAAACCATCACGGTCTGGACTAGATCCAAGGACTGGCATCACAGGTCTTATTCAAGGCCTTCAGTTGCGGATTGAGAATCAAGAGGTGTTAAAGGAGTTTATGGTAAAGTGTGATTCCTTTTTAAGATCTAACTGTTTAGCACAGATAAGAAAGTGGTTTTTAATAGCTTTCTGCATACTGTATGGGAGATCAACTTGTATTCAATCCACTTTCCCTGAGAATTATTCCAGCCAGAATGGGGTTTCTATTCTGCTGTTTGGCAGATACTGCAGTATTTGTTTCTTCCTCTTTCCATGTAGGTCAGGCTTACACTGTTCTCTGTCCAAAGATACTGCCCATGTGTAATGAATCACTTTTTCCTAGACTGATTTCCCATTACCCCCTCAGCTCTGCTGAACATCTGCCTAAGAACTATCCCAAGGGCTGCACTAAGCAAGAAATCCATGCTTCCAGGGATTCACTAATGTAGAAACACTCAGTTGAAAGGAAAATGTTTCACGCAATGCAACAGTTATCCACGGAACTCATTGCCACAAGGTGCTAAAAAAGTCAGGAATTTTGTGAAATTAAAATAAAAAGTAATGAAAGTAATGAAAGGTAATGAAAACACATAATTACATCTGATGGCATTTAAATAATGAAAAAATGTAAAATTAGGAAGGCATATAAAATCGCTTGTTTCAGGGCATAAATAGAGTACTCAGTTATCATCAAATTCCCAAAGAATAGATTCATAACTCTTCAACACAGTGCTGAATTTTCCCTTGAAGGATGCACCAGTGAAAAGGATGTAGCAGTGAAATGGATTGCTGCCACTTTTCCACAGTAATTGCAACATTATCAGTTTCTTTCACTTGCCTTTATATCTCTGACTTTCTGGGTAAAAAATCCAACAGGCTCAAGTGTACAGGATTTGCTGACTTTCCCTGAAGGCTCAAGGGCACGTATTAATTTCCATTCATTCCATTCTATTCCATTGCTGATGTAGGTATAGCATACTATGAGCTGAGTCATATGTCTGCACTTAAAGATCTAATAAGGAACTGGTTACTAAAGCCAATGGATATTTTATCTGAGTAAAACCTCTAGTAACTGATGAAGGTGTTCAAGAATTGTAACATGTATTTCAGTTCATATAGGCTGGATAGCAGCATAATGTGATGGCTGAGCATTATGCAATGCATATCAAATAGGTACAAGAGTAAAAAAGAGTCAAGGTAACTCAAAACTGTAAATGAAATGAACTTCCACACTTCTGCTTCCAACAACACTGCATTATGTTCCCCTAAATCTACTATGAAGTACTTAACAACCATATGATTTGCACTCAGTACCATTGATGGTGTTCTCTATATTAATCACTTTATCACTGAAAAGTACTCACTGTCATTATTGCACTGCTAATAGTGCAACATAGTGCTTTAGTCAGTAGGTTATCCATTATAAATGCTGACATTTGGCCGAGACACTATTCCAAACATCTATCATACAGCAATATACAACAGGGATTTGTAATGACAGAGGCTGAGGATGAAGGTTGGAAATCTCACTTGAAAAGCCTAGAAATGTTATTCAGGCTGAAGAAAATATAAAGCAACTTGAATTCCTTGCCTAGGAGTTTAGAGAATGGTGTACTGATTCTCTTCTGTAAGAAGTCTATTTGCCAGTCTTGGGTCATATACTGTAGTAAAGTTTGCTCACACTGACACTGTGAAAGTTATCTATAGAGGATGTGAACATCATGGATTGACTATTTCTTTTTGATCTAGGCTTTAGAACATGTGAAACCAATAGATGAGTGCAGAACTGGCAAAGCACCAGAAAACCGGCATAAAAACAGATACCAAGACATTCTTCCATGTAAGTATGCACAGTAACAAAAACATACACTGGGTGAGCAAAGACATCAGAAAACAGAAAAACAGTTATAACAGAGACGTAGGAGGTGCAAATCTCACCACATCCATAGTCACAGAGAGCTTTGCTAATAATGGATTTATTCATTATGATTAATGAGATTTTTCCAAAAGAGATAGAGTTCACATAAGTATGTCTGCATTGTACAATATGTAACTATTCAAAGTATCATCTTCCACAAGGCAGGACTTGGTCTGGTAGGGGACTAGTTGTCTTGGTGTTTCCTTCCCTTGTTCTCAGAGTTATTGATCTACATTTCTGTGGACATTGAATTATACCATTTCTTTAAACCTATTTAAATGTACAGCTACATCTACTGCTTGTGACACAGTGGAATTCTGAAAAGTACAGTGGAAATCATGAAGTTATGTAACTCTTCAAAAGATAAAGATTCTTCCAAAAGTATTTGAAAACATATTATCCAACCAGACCCTTCAGCTGCTCAGCTCTGGTCAGAGTCAGAAACAAATTTCATCGCTGATGAGAAGTCATTTTAGAAAGAAGATTTGGGTCCAAGCTCTGAATGACTGCTATTAGCAAGGATCCAAGAAAAAATAATGTACTGCTCAATGATTCCCTGAGAGGTATCATGACAGAAAGAAAACACTTTCTGAACACTTGATGTCTTTGTAAACTGCAGCAGCAGGACAACACATGCAAAAATTTGCAGCACCTCTATTTATCAGTGAATGCAGTATATATATTCTTAAAAGTTTTCCTGATTTAGAACACCAAAATCCAGTGTCAATATTCCTATGCAATGTATTAAAAGCAGCACTGGATACACTATGTTGAATCACTGCCAAACAATTCCACGGTAATTAGAAGTCTTGTCAGAGTATTACATAAGGATCTTAAGAGAAATAAAGCTGTAGTGAACAATACAATTTATCTGTGGAAATTCCTATAAGCAGTGATTAATATCAGTGCTACTACTCAAATTCTATTCTAGAATCCAGAGCCGTACTTTGATGGAGAGACTGAGGTTCCCTATCTCATGAGTGCTGGAGATGGTAGAACTCCATTTCAGATTCTCAGCTCAAAAGGATCTTTCTGTTTCTGTACAGATGATAAGACACGAGTTCCTCTGGGAGAAAAGAATGGCTACATTAACGCAAGTTATATTAGAATGAAAGTTGGAGAAGAGGAACATTTTTATATCATAACCCAAGGGCCTCTGCCATCCACTATGGCCGATTTCTGGCAAATGGTCTGGGAGAGTGAATCAAATGTGATTGCCATGATGACAAAAGAAGTGGAGTTAGGGGAAGTCAAATGTCATCGATACTGGCCTGAGCCTCCCAATGATTCTAAAGACCTGGCAAATTTCCATCTCAGGCTAGACAATTACCAGATTCTGGAATACTTCGTAATTAGAAAAATAGAAGTGATCAACAAGCAGGTAAGTTGAGTAGACTTAATACTTTTATATATGATGAAATTGATTATATATTTAAAATTAGTAGATACCAGTAGTACTGCTTGATTCTTCCATACCATGTGCTTGGATTTTTTAGGAATGTAAAAATCTGAATAACAGGCATGAATTTAGGGTTAATGAGATAATATTTCTTTGCTCATTCCACAAGCAATGGATCTGATATTACAGACTTTTAGACAAGAACAAGTGACTCTAACAGTCACAGAGCTGGTGTGTTTAGTGTTTTGCAGAATTGCTTATGGTTCTCATCAAATCACATCTGTGCCAGAGTAGATTCATATCCTCTAATGGTGGCTGGATGGAAAGAGGGGAAGAAGGTGGTTTTCATCCTAGAATTTAGATCAAATGATACTTTTTTCATTCATCAAAAGACATGAATACATGTGAAATTATGAATCTAGCAGCAAATTTTTAGAAACTTAGCAAATACAGAATCCAGGTGTAAGAACAGGGAAATCAGGGCAACTATAAGTCTCTCAGTCTTGCCTCAATAGTAACTCTGTAAAATTTTCTACAGGACACATATTTAGTGGAATAACAAAAAGACTTGTACCTGTGCCAGACTAACTTGGTGTCTTTTCTATCAAGATAATTTTTCTATTTGAGGAAAAGACAGTTCACCATATGCTATCGAGTGTGAAGCATAGTAAAGCATTTGATGAGAATCTTTCCAAAAGACTCTTAAGATGGGAAGATGGTATGTTATATGTGATTGTTTAAATGACAATTTTAAGTTTGTTATGTTTGTAGTGGACCAATATCAAACTACTACAGAAAGCTATGGGTTTGTTTCAGCAGAAATCCATATTTGCATTCAAATTCTTCTGACAGTAAAAATCCAGGTAGTTCTTTATCATTAAGGAGCTGGCAACAAGAAGAATTGACCCAGGACCATTCAATAATATCAGTCTTTATTTAATCTACATTTTATTTAGTATTGTAAGCATTTTTTAGTTAGTTTTCCTGTTGGGTATCTAATCAGAAGTTATTCTTTTATGTCTGATAGCCAGAATAGCTGTTATGATCTTAATATCATGGCATTCATATTACTACCCTTCTATTAGTAAGGCTTAATTCAGCTAAAATAACAGTTTTAGCAAACAGTACTGTAATGTTCCAATTTAACAAATGTTTTTGGGGTTTTTTTTCCTTTCTAAACAACAAATGAGATAACTACATCCTTTTGAGGCAACAGAATAACTTCAGTGTCACATCAAAATCATGCAAAGTAAATTTCCTAGGCTTGTGTCTTCTGAGTGCATTACTGGAAACCTAAAGAAATCTTATTAGAGCCAAATATAAAAAGCTGAAGAATTTCAGGGTACACAAACAATTGACTAAGAATGAGGCTAAAGGAAAATTTTTAGTGGAATTCCTTGAAAATTGGTTTTAGGACCGATAATTTTTAACCTTTTTGGTCTCTCTCTTCCAGACAGAAGAGAAGCGCTTTATAAGTCATTTGCAATTCACCACTTGGCCAGACCACAATATTCCCAAACTGGCCGAGCAGCTTGTAAAATTTATTTGTCACATGAGAAAAGCTCACAGTACAGGACCTATTGTTGCTCACTGCAGCACTGGCATTGGAAGAAGTGGAGTTTTGCTGTGTATTGAAATTCTGCTCAGCTATATAGAAAAAGATTTATGTGTAAGTATCAAACAGATCATTGTTAAGTATTGCAAACTGGTATGGATGTCAATAGCATGGTGGGGGCATCTTAGAACAGAGTAATTCCTCTTAGAATTCACCCTAACAAAACAGGTGAATAAACCCAGCTTTTGTTTCAAACAACAAAGTTGATAAGTTAATATACTGTCTCTGAAAGAAGTGTCACAGCTTCCCCACCTGAATATGCTTAAATCTTTCTTTATAATTTGCATGTCAACCAAAAAAAATTGTTCTCTTCCTATAGTTCAACATCAAGGAGATAGTGAGGGATTTGAGAGATCAGCGTTTTGGCATGATCCAAACTAAGGTAAGTTCTCAATATTCAACTAGACTATGATTTTTAAAAGCCACAATTAGTGGTACATATCCACATGCTTTGATAAATCTGGGGCTTAAAATATAATTTTAGTGCTCTCATTTGTGGAAAATAACAGCCTTCCAGGCAAGTGGTGTCTAGTTTAAAATATAGAAGTCTGTCCCTCACTAAATAATTGAAATAAAAGCCAAGCAGTAGTATAGTACAGATAAAACATACACCTCTTTCTGTTTCTAAAGCAAGAAGAAAAGCAAGGCTCATAAAAACAGTGAGATACTATAAACTCTACCCTGCAAAATTGCAGCTTTCAGCTGAATTCTTGCTATTGCTGAGTTATCATCACCAAGTAAACCCTTCTACTGCTGAGTTAAAACAACTCTCAAAAAGACTTTTCACACAGGAAAAGACAAGATGCAGCTAACTCAATTCAGAGAAAACAGGTGGTGGGAATAAAAGCAAGAGAAGACTAGGATAAGTTCTTCCTTCCATTTTAGCACATGCTTTGATACATTTTTATTCAGTGTAATGATTGAGCATGTGACTAAAATTAAGTAGATAGATAACCTTCACTGACCTAAATGAGAGTTGAACACATGCTTAAAATACAGCGTTCCTGAACTTCTACAAGTGATGGAAAAAAAGAACAAGGATTCTCTGTAATATGTAAGGGTTTGTATCCATATTACAAAGATGATGATGTTATAAACAGCGATTCAACTAGTCTGTCCTTCTTTGCCTAGAATTTATGTTGAATGTTACCAGGTGTTTCACACTGGTGTCTCTTCATACAGGATGAGTATTTATTCTGTTATGAAGTTGTGCTGGAAGTCCTTCAGATGCTCCGAACAATGGATTCCTACTGACTACAATATGACTCTTCCCTGTTGCTTTCCCCTTGGACTCCAGGGACCACTCAGCAGTTACTTTAAAGAGATGTTAAGCCAGGACAGATGAGTGTTATTATGTGTTTTTTTAGATTACTCTGATTTCTAAGGCATTTCAAAACCTTGCTTAACGCATCCTGGGTAAGTCATTTAAATCTTGGCTCAAAGTTTGGAGAAGCAGCCAGCCAGCACTGCAACACTGCTGCTTTAAATTGCCATGGACAATTTTTACATTCTGTGTAATAATATATTAATTGTTATGAAAATATTTTGGGACTGTGTCAAGGATATTAGCTTTACTTTCCAGACAGCAACTATAAAGATCTAAGGTTTTGCTGGTGTTTGTGGAAGATTAGTTGTTCCTCATCTATTGTTATGCACTATTGGCTTCTGGACTGCAAAGCAGTATTTATTAGAGTAGTTATGCTCTTGTGTGGAAGGACTCAATTTGATTACCTTTGGTTGCTTGAACAATGTAGAACCATTTCCAGTCATCACTCCAGCCTAGGGTTTTATACCACCTTCAATAGTCATCTTAAATCAAGAAACTAACAGTAAAAATAGAATGCCTTTAAACTCTCATTGGTTCTCTTCAAAGGAAGAGCCCAGCAATATGCACAGATGTAGATGAACAGTATTCTTTCATTCTACATCCGTGTAAAAAGGAATGCAACACTAAGCCAGGTGAAATGACTGTATGTGCGTTGTGGCACATGCATACATTTCATCTTCCCCTGATCCTTTCCACTGATTAACTATCTTGTAATTCTTACCTAGGATTTGAACTGATCTATGGAAAGTCCCACTGATTTCAGTAGGGGCTGAATCAAATCTTTAAATTAGAGTAAAGAACTCTCTGTACAGTTTATTTCTCTTGTAAAAAGTGTTTCTGTTCATGTGAATGGATTTGAGCACAAATATGCTGTTAAAGTTGTAAGATTGCACTTGTTTCTATAGTACTACTTTTAAGTCCTTTATCTAGAAGGTGATGTATATGGAAGTGATTACATGTCCATTGGAAGAATAACTTTTAAACACAGGAAACTTTAGCAATCTGACTGAATTGTACATATTTTTAAAAATTCTTTGATTTCAGGAAAAGAAAAAAATATTAAGAGGCATTGGATATAAAACTGAAGTAGAAGCAAGACAATAAAATGCCTGTCTATTTTCATTATGAATAAGAGGCTTATTTTTCAGAAAGAACAGGGGATTAAATGCTAATTAAAAGTATGACTTTTAGAAAAATCCACTGTAATATAACCATAATTAAGGCCAAGGCCCATTTTTTCTTTCTGGCCTCCAATAGTCAGCTAGAAGGCAGCAAAAGACAGAAATGCAGTTTGTTATTTGAGCCAGATGTTAATTTCAAACATATTGATAAAGTTTCAGAATAATGCTAAATAAATCCAGGAGTAACCCTGGATTTATAGTGGTATAAATATAAGCAGAATTCAATGTTTTGTCTTAAATTCATTGCATTTGTTCCTTTCTTTCAGCATTACTTTCCATACATTCTGCATTTACTATCTTCATGTTGCATTTAAGGGACTGTTCGCACAATTTTTTCAAATGTCATCAGCCAAATTTTTTTCATACCTTTGTTACTTTCATTTGGTATTTGGCCTTTCACTTTGACTTTAATTACTGCACAAGTACTAGGCAATGAATGCACTACACTGCGCATGAATGCACAATTGACTTTTTGTACCACAACAATTTTAATAAGCATCTCTGAAAATATTCCTGTACTTGATGCAAAGGTGTTTTTTCCTGTAGTTTAGAACAAGCATTCTGGATTTAGAAGACAATCCTCACAGCATTATTTGTTTCTCCACATTTGTGCATCATCTTTGCAGCTGTTTGACAGATGTGTTTGCTGTTTGACATAAGTTTTTCCTGTTTTACAGGGATATTAAAAAGATTTCTGAAAACAATCTGTTTAATTTCAATTTTGTTTTATAAAAAAGCAGCTGCAATACTTAACTACTAACTAATAAGAGCTCTAGGGAAAAATATTTTATTAATTGGAGCTTATATTTAAAATTCCTCTAAAGGTAGATTTTGTGATGATGGTACCTTTTGTACATTCCTCTGAAGCCCTTATTACTGACCTCTAAGAAATTTTGCCATATGTCATGATCTTATTCTTTGGGAACGTGACAATTAAATACCTTTATACAGATAAAGATACTATGGTTATGATCCCCATAATGACATACTCCCTCAAACTGGACTTGGGTTTGGATGAGACATACACTTTTATACAGGTCTGGTCCTCTAAGGCTGCTGCAGAGTAAGATAAAACAGAATTGTCCTTCCAGATATTCTGTAATCTGTTTCATAACAAAGAAACTCTCACTCACAGAAAATCTCCTAGGCTCTGAGACCAACTTTAGGCAGAGCCAAATGAACACAATTTACCACATGCTGGGTGACAAGCCCTACATCTGTCACAGTTCTGGGGCAATCCTACAGAGCAAGTCTCTCAATCCACGGTCTGAAAATATTTTAAGAAAACTGCAGTTTTGCAAGGGTTCTGTACATGTTTGAAGCTAAAGGCGGTCCCCTCAGTCCAGGTCTGCTCCTGATCTCCATGCTGACAGTAAGCCTAGACAGCAGATAATTTGGGAGATGGAAGGACTGAAATGATAGACACAGCTTCATCCTACAATAGACACCATGTTTGGAGAAATAAACAATGAGTCATCACCAGAAAGTGCTTGGCAGATGTGATTGCTATATATGGTCTCTTGGAGATGGTAAGGAACCATATGTTGTCAGCTCCCTCTTTAAAGGCACGATTCAGGGATTCATCTTCCAGCTTTGCTGCAGACTTCCTGAAGAGGCCAAACCACTTAAGCAGGATTATCTGCACCTAACAGTTTTCTTCTTTTCCACTCTACTACTGGGGTACACTCACATCCTTTGTAGATAGGACTACTGAGCTCAAAGTGTAGATAAACTGAGAACAGTTAGAAGACCTAACCATTTAAGTATAGGGGATTCTGGCTACATCCAGCAGCTGATAAGCATTTCCCCCCCTACACAGCAGAAATCAGAGTTCCACTCCTTCTTTCTTCATTCACGTAGAACTCCTGTGGAGATCAAGGCTCACTGATATGCATTCATTTGGAACAAAAGGTAATCCACTCTTTAAAGAGCTCAAAGGACTTGACAAATCAGGATAAACTGGAAAGAAAGGAAAACCTACTGTCCTATTTCAGTCATAGGGAAGTGAAGCAATGGTTGGTGATTTGGTGAAGGTCTACAGAGCTTTGAAAAACTTAGGAACTAAACCTAGTTGATGAAAGCTCTGATTCTTTGTCTACACATAAAACTATCTTTCCTCAGTCAGAAAATAGGATCATACTGCTCTGGCCAATTTCTGATGAGATATTATTTAGCATATAAAGTGCTCTGACTGGAATTTGCACACATCCTAATATGCAAGAGATGAGGATTTTTTACTGAACAGGCCCTTCTGTGATGGAAAAAATACGTGCAAACACGGCTCGTACTGCCAAAGAGCAGCAATCACTGCCATCTAGGGGCGAATCGTGACTGTCACTGTGACAGCATTAATCGCAATTAGTCGCTCGTGCCCTTTGCACAGAACCATTCCATGAACTTTCAGTGAAGTTCACTCAAAAGTGTTACCAAGACAGGCTTGGCAGGACGCAGTGCTCTTGCTCCAGCCTGGTGAATTCCTGCCTGGCCAGGCAGGTGCTGCATGCTTCTGACAACTATACACCCATACCTAAAGTAATGATAATGAAGTGCTCAGACAGCCTCAGGAGAAGATCTGTCTAAATCTGATAAGAGGCTAAATTATGAATAACCTTGCTCTTGACCTTAAAGCAGGAGTGCTTTTGGAATGAAGCACGTTCTTTCTTATTGAAAATTGTGAGTAATGGGAAATCCTCCCAGAGTTTTACAAAAACTGGTTTTATAGAACACTGTGAGTGTCTGATTCTAATTCAGTTGGAGTTTATTTAGTGTGAGATAATCTCTGTAAACTGGTTTCTTTTTCCAGTATATTGCAAATTCATCTCCAGAATGAGGGCTAGAGGTAACATCACACACCGTGGTGTGATAACCCCGATCATTGCATACTACTGTGATCCCCATGAGGCTTAACCTGAGCAGGCCCAAGCCTGTGCTGTGCTGTGAATATCTCTTAGCTTCAGAATAAACATAGCCTGTTAAGTGTAACAGAGGGCTTGTAGGCAGCTCTCACTTGCTACTCAAAATTAAGTCACCATGAGTTCTTGCCTTTGCCTAAAAGCGCAGCAAGAAGTCATCATATGAACATTCTTTCTAGTGGACAGTAGTAATACTCAACGGAATTGTTTCATTCTGGGAAATAATACAATAGTTCAAATGACCAAAACAAGGTGATTCTTCCATAGTGTCTGCACAGTGTGCTGCACCCAGACCAGATGCCTGTTTGATGCTCCACAACTCGAAGAGTTCTCAGCATTTGAGGATGTAAGTTTATCTATACTATCGTCTCTCCGTTTACAGTGTTAGGGCTAATTAATAGCACTTTAAATGATACTTAGCATAATCTGAGTGCCTGACTTACTGAAATTACATTGGAACAGCAACTCCAGATGTTAAACACTCCAGTGAAGGACAACGGTATTTCTCAGAGCTGTTAAATCACAAAGCTGACTCAAAATGAAGATTGCCTACCTATTGCTTGCAAAGATGACCAAATACATTGTAATACTACAAAAAATAGATGTCAGTTGAGATCTTTATACTGAAAAGAGAGGTCTCCCTTACAGGCTAAGCATATTGAGGGTTACAGTCCAATATCTGATGAATCTTTAAATGTCCAGCAATGTGTGTGATGGAAGGGCACAGCACTTATAAAGATATGTGTAACAGTAAAGTTTTATGATTTGCACATAATCTTGCACTGATGTAGCTTGCAGGTTTAGAAATAAGCTTGTGAAACCAGAAGAGTGTTCTCTAGTGCCATACAGACATAAGTTTTTTTTTTCCTTGTTTACTTACTTTGTGCATACCAGGAATAACAGAACCTCATACTTCATTCCTGCATCTCCAGACCCAATAGATGGAACAACCAAAAACTAATAAGAACCATGACAGAAAATAGTTGAGATTGGAAGGAACCTCTGGGAAGCATCTAGTCTAAACCCTTAAACTCACAGCAGTGTCACCTAGAGCTCAAGACTATGTTCAGGTAAGTTTTGGATACCTCAAGGTGGAGGCTCCATCACCTGTCTAGGCAACCTGTTCTGATATTTGACCATCCTCCTGGATTTCAGTTTGCACCCATTGCAACTTATCCTGTCTCTGGACACCACTAAGAGGACTCTCTTTCCTCCTTCTTATTTACTCCCTGCCTTTTAGGAATTTGTATCTACTGATAAGTTCCCTCTGAGCATTCTCTTCTCCAAACTACACAAACACAATTGTCTCAACTTCTCCTTATATGACAGACATTCCAATTTCTTAATCATCACAGTGGCCTTAATATGCCAGTACTTGTATAGGGAGAGGATAAGATTCCATTCAACAACTGCATGTCTACTGAAATTAGGAGATATAGTTTTTTGGTGCCTAATTTACATCTGAGAGCTTTTTGCTGTTTTCATAGCACTTAAGGACTGATCAATATGAGAGTTTAAGTGAAGACGCAGAGTATTGATCATCTCTTGGATGCCAGTCTGCAAGATCTGCCAATGATCATCTCTACTTTTTTGGTTAGTCTTAACTCTTCAGCGTCCTCCCATATGAAGTAGGTGGCTGTTCAGAATTCATCGCCTTTTCTGCACAGCAGCAGCTACACATGCACGCCTGAGGGACAGTGAACTTTTTGCAATCCTGCTCTGAATTACAGTGTTATTTAGCTTGCTCATTGAACCATTCAAAACCAAAAAAACAAAAAGCAGCTAAAATGCCTGAGAGCAGTACACCCCCAACCAGGCGACAGACACAATAGCGACTATACAGTAGCTGTCCAGCACCCCAGCTCATTACACAACTGAGCAATTAACTGAAGTTGCCTGTGCTCCCTCCCCTCCCTGCATTTGTTCTCTTGAGGGATGACAATTCCTTCTCCTCCTTCCTGTTCAACCCTCTTTGAAAGGCGTGCCAGTGATTGTAGGCTTTCCTTTCCAATCACACTGCTGTAAAAAAGCTCCTAACTACTCCCATTACCACTTCCTTCATGACTGAAGCAGATTTATCCCAGGCAAAGCACGAGCTATAGTACCTCTTGGCTCATTCAGTACACCTACCAATAGCTCCCAAGGCAGAAACAACTGCTGTGAGCTTGCTTAATGCCGGCATCTTTGGATGAGTGACAAGGACACTATGAGAAATAATGAACATTAGGGAAATGTAGCTATAGCAACACTAGTATTCACAAAGCAAATCCCCACTAAGAGTGCAAGGAAACTGCTGTTATTGTGTATGTAAAAGTGCTGATAAAGCAGGAGCTTGGGCTACAGCATCAGGAGAAAGCATGCCAGGCCTGCAGTCTTGCCACAAAAGGTAACAAAAGTGCACCTGTAGCAGACAGAAACTTAGCTCACACACTTTCAGAAATGTCGGGTGAAACAACGGATCAAAACTGAGTCTTTGTAAGAAAATCTCAAACCTCAGTCAGGTCTTGGTTTTACTGCTCCTGACTTTACTGCAGGTTTAGCACTATGTCGTCAAAGGAACCATCCTGGTAACATTCTCATGGTGCTCAAGAGGCTGGCATTGTTCCAGAAGCAGGAAATGAGCCTTGGTCTCTCATTAAACTATACTGCCTTCATCCTTTTTTTATCCACTGAAACCAGGCAAAAATTGTAGCTGAGTATTCAACAGGAGCATGGACAATGCTTTCTGACCTTTTTTTTTTTAATCTTAAAATGAAATAATTGAATGACTCTTGGGGAATTTTGACTTT